CATCATAACCTAGGTATGGATATGCGATTTATTTCTCAGTTAGAGTAAGACATTATGATCCTACTACATAAAAATCATAAAAATCTTGTAAACGGTTTTCGAGATATAAATTTTTAACTATATCGGCCAATCAGTAACCTAGGAATGAACAGGCCCAACTTCTACCTCTTATAGAAACCGTCATAAGAATGGTATGGGAATGCAATTTATTTTACAGGTAGCTTAAGACATTATAATCATACTACATAAAAATGATCAAAATCGTTTAAACGATTTTTGAGATATAAATTTTTAACTGAATCGGCCAATCAGTAACCTAGTAATGAACAGGCCTAACTTCTACCTCTTATAGAAACCATCATAACAATGGTATGGGAATGCAATTTATTTCTCAGGTAGCTTAAAACATGATGATCATACTACATAAAAATCATTAAAATTGTTTAAACGATTTTTGAGATATACATTTTTAACTAAATCGGCAAATCAGTTGCCTTGAAATGAACAGGCACTACTTCTACCACTTATAGAAACCATCATAAGCATGGTATGGGAATGCAATTTATTTCTCAGTTAGCTTAAAACATTATGATTATACTACATAAAAATCATTAAAATCTTGTTAACTGTTTTCGAGATATAAATTTTTAACTATATCGGCCAATCAGTAACCTAGGAATGAACAGGCCCAACTTCTACCTCTTATAGAAACCGTCATAAGAATGGTATGGGAATGCAATTTATTTTACAGGTAGCTTAAGACATTATGATCATACTACATAAAAATGATTAAAATCGTTTAAACGATTATTGAGATATACAATTTTAACTGAATCGGCAAGTCAGTAGCCTAGAAATGAACAGGCCCAACTTCTACCTCTTATAGAAACCATCATAACAATGGTATGGGAATGCAATTTATTTCTCAGGTAGCTTAAAACATGATGATCATACTACATAAAAATCATTAAAATTGTTTAAACGATTTTTGAGATATACTTTCTTAACTAAATCGGCAGATCAGTTGCCTTGAAATGAACAGGCACAACTTCTACCACATATAGATTCCATCATAACCATGGTATGGAAATGCAATTTATTTCTCAGTTAGAGTAAGACATTATGATCCTACTACATAAAAATTATTAAAATCTTGTAAAAGGTTTTCGAGATATAAATTTTTAACTATATCGGCCAATCAGTAACCTAGGAATGAACAGGCCCAACTTCTACCTCTTATAGAAACCGTCATAAGAATGGTATGGGAATGCAATTTATTTTACAGGTAGCTTAAGACATTATGATCATACTACATAAAAATCATTAAAATTGTTTAAACGATTTTTGAGATATACTTTCTTAACTAAATCGGCAGATCAGTTGCCTTGAAATGAATAGGCACAACTTCTACCACATATAGATTCCATCATAACCATGGTATGGAAATGCAATTTATTTCTCAGTTAGAGTAAGACATTATGATCCTACTACATAAAAATTATTAAAATCTTGTAAAAGGTTTTCGAGATATAAATTTTTAACTATATCGGCCAATCAGTAACCTAGGAATGAACAGGCCCAACTTCTACCTCTTATAGAAACCGTCATAAGAATGGTATGGGAATGCAATTTATTTTACAGGTAGCTTAAGACATTATGATCATACTACATAATAATCATTAAAATTGTTTAAACGATTTTTGAGATATACTTTCTTAACTAAATCGGCAGATCAGTTGCCTTGAAATGAACAGGCACAACTTCTACCTCTTATAGAAACCGTCATAAGAATGGTATGGGAATGCAATTTATTTTACAGGTAGCTTAAGACATTATGATCATACTACATAAAAATCATTAAAATTGTTTAAACGATTTTTGAGATATACTTTCTTAACTAAATCGGCAGATCAGTTGCCTTGAAATGAACAGGCACAACTTCTACCTCTTATAGAAACCGTCATAAGAATGGTATGGGAATGCAATTTATTTTACAGGTAGCTTAAGACATTATGATCATACTACATAAAAATGATTAAAATCGTTTAAACGATTATTGAGATATACAATTTTAACTGAATCGGCAAGTCAGTAGCCTAGAAATGAACAGACCCAACTTCTACCTCTTATAGAAACCATCATAACAATGGTATGGGAATGCAATTTATTTCTCAGGTAGCTTAAAACATGATGATTATACTACATAAAAATCATTAAAATTGTTTAAACGATTTTTGAGATATACTTTCTTAACTAAATCGGCAGATCAGTTGCCTTGAAATGAACAGGCACAACTTCTACCACATATAGATTCCATCATAACCATGGTATGGAAATGCAATTTATTTCTCAGTTAGAGTAAGACATTATGATCCTACTACATAAAAATTATTAAAATCTTGTAAAAGGTTTTCGAGATATAAATTTTTAACTATATCGGCCAATCAGTAACCTAGGAATGAACAGGCCCAACTTCTACCTCTTATAGAAACCGTCATAAGAATGGTATGGGAATGCAATTTATTTTACAGGTAGCTTAAGACATTATGATCATACTACATAAAAATCATTAAAATTGTTTAAACGATTTTTGAGATATACTTTCTTAACTAAATCGGCAGATCAGTTGCCTTGAAATGAACAGGCACAACTTCTTCCACATATAGATTCCATCATAACCATGGTATGGAAATGCAATTTATTTCTCAGTTAGAGTAAGACATTATGATCCTACTACATAAAAATTATTAAAATCTTGTAAAAGGTTTTCGAGATATAAATTTTTAACTATATCGGCCAATTAGTAACCTAGGAATGAACAGGCCCATGTTCTACCTCTTATAGAAACCGTCATAAGAATGGTATGGGAATGCAATTTATTTTACAGGTAGCTTAAGACATTATGATCATACTACATAAAAATGATTAAAATCGTTTAAACGATTTTTGAGATATACAATTTTAACTGAATCGGCAAGTCAGTAGCCTAGAAATGAACAGGCCCAACTTCTACCTCTTATAGATTCCATCATAACCATGGTATGGAAATGCAATTTATTTCTCAGTTAGAGTAAGACAATATGATCCTACTACATAAAAATTATTAAAATCTTGTAAAAGGTTTTCGAGATATAAATTTTTAACTATATCGGCCAATCAGTAACCTAGGAATGAACAGGCCCAACTTCTACCTCTTATAGAAACCGTCATAAGAATGGTATGGGAATGCAATTTATTTTACAGGTAGCTTAAGACATTATGATCATACTACATAAAAATGATTAAAATCGTTTAAACGATTTTTGAGATATACAATTTTAACTGAATCGGCAAGTCAGTAGCCTAGAAATGAACAGGCCCAACTTCTACCTCTTATAGAAACCATCATAACAATGGTATGGGAATGCAATTTATTTCTCAGGTAGCTTAAAACATGATGATCATACTACATAAAAATGATTAAAATTGTTTAAACGATTTTTGAGATATACATTTTTAACTAAATCGGCAAATCAGTTGCCTTGAAATGAACAGGCACAACTTCTACCACTTATAGAAACCATCATAAGCATGGTATGGGAATGCAATTTATTTCTCAGGTTGCTTAAGTACTTATAATTATACTACATAAAAATTATCAAAATCTTATAAACCGTTTTTGAAGATTTTTGTTTTTACTAGCTCAGGTTTTTATACTATCTTCGCACGTGGGAGTACATTGCGTGATACAATTATGGTATAGAATCAAGTGTTATTTGTGGTTAATATACTTTATTTAGACACCTCAGTTACATATAAATGGTACATTAGTAAAACAAACACTTTAAAACTGCTCAAAACGTATGATTTAAACATAAAATGTTTTTGAGGTTAGGAAGTTTTGACACGTGAAACATGTGTTTGAGGTTAGGACGTTTTGATACATGAAATTGAGGTTAGGAAGTTTTGATGCCACGGCCTTCTTGATCTACTGATCTGACGGTGACGTCATAGCTTAATGTTGGTTTATTGGCAGTTTCACAGACATTACAGTAGCTCTATAGTTAACGTGTACGCTTCGCTGTGAAATTATTCTGATTGTTAAATCTAGTGCTACGAGTGAGATCAAAATCAATTATTAACTTAAACTAACGTTTTTTTTTTGTTAGGCCTACATTAACATAAGTTACCCTATGCCAAAATTCACTGGCAGATGACTGAAAGTTCTTCTGGCCCTAGTGCAATGAGAGGGTAGAGTGTGAAAATGGGTTATGGAACGTAAAAAATGGCCGTGAAAACCTCTTTCTTTGTGGTCTTCTCTGAGAAGTCTGATAACCCACCAAAATCTCAATTCCTTTCTAACGTTTTCACAGCCATTTTTAAACCCCTTCACTTAGCCTATTTCTGCAATTCCACGTCTAAGTTTTATATAGGCTATTGTAATATTGTATAATATTGTACCATGACAATAACCTTCAGTCATCTGGTGATGAATGTCTGTCGGATGACTTAGGCCTATGTTTCGTGGAATAAAAAAAGTGTATTACCTACAACCTTATCTTTCTCGAGGCAGGAGATTCAACAATTTTAAAACACACAGCAAAGCATAGGCGTCCACAGACACGTCAGCTACCATGCTGCAAATGGTGCCATTCTCTACACAAATTATTTCACTAAGCAGCGAGGAGCCTTTTTGCAGCGTACACGCAAACTACAGAGTTGTAGGCAAAAACGGTCCCTATTAAAAAAATAGCTTTTGTACAACTTGTGTCTGCATAAAGTTCCATCATAATCGGCATAGTAAGAACTTATAAAAGCAAAACATTGCCTAATTTAGTAATTCATTTAAATCACATTAGCTCACTTCATTAAGTGACTCTTTATTCCTTAAGTAGTTTGGAGAACGCTATCAAAAATCACTAAAATTCGAGGTTTTTAACCATCAGACACAACTCTTGGTAAGGAAATTAATAAGTCTATGGTAAGGAAATTAATAGTCTATGTCTTTTGTTTCATGTTAGATCTGCCAATCTACTCAATTGATATTCATCCCGATGGGTCACGTTTTGCTACTGGAGGACAAGGTAATTTTTTTTTAAATTTTTATTCATTAACTTAATCTGACAGGCTCATTTAGGCCTATTGCAAAAATCAACAGGGTACAAGTTGCTGAAATACACTATCTAGTAGAACTAATAAAAAAAGCAAATGCAAAATTATTATAGGGTGGTGATTTTTAAAATAAATTTATAAATAAAATTGTCAAAACACACAATTACCTATGCTGACAAGTTGTGTTGCTTGGAGGGAAAAAACCTGGCTATCCACCACCTTTGCTAGGGACCATATAATAATTTCACAATCCCGAATTTGTAGGGACATTTTTATGCATAAATAGGCTATCATTGACTATTCAGTTTTTTGTTACACCTTTTCTGTTTTTTAGTCGTTCTGACGATATCAAAATGTTCTGTCACTTAATACAGTAGGCCTACATAAAATTTAGTTAAATAAGTTTTTGTTGCTAAAAAATTTAAGTAAGTACATAAAGGTACATTGAATAGGTATTAGTGATCTGCTATGCCCTCATTTACAATAATAGAAATATGATCGAAATTGTGTTGAATGTTTCTTTAATCATGTTAGGAATGCATCATGTTGTCATATAGCAAACAATATATCTTTTAGATCAGATACCAGAATCTTGATTTGGTTTGAAATCAAATGACTTAAATGAACTTCACTTTCAGTGAATCAATTAAGTTTTAAATTACCCTTTCATTCTAATATTGGATTAATGTTATGTTGATGTCAAGCTAGACCAAGGCCCATTTTCAATGTTTGACAGGAGAAGACTCGGGTAGAGTTGTCATCTGGAACATGGCTCCGGTGGCAGATCAAGTCGTGGAGTTGGATCAATCTGTTCCTAAGATGCTTTGTCAGCTGAATAATCATCTAGGTAATGTTTTTTCAAAGTTTCTTTTACAGTTTAGTCTCAAAGTGCATCATATTTGCATACAGTTATTAGTACTGATACTATTATAAATAAATACTTACTTACTTAATCCCATGGTTATGGATGCCCCAGGTGGTATTTGGCCTCGCCAACAAGTTGCCTCCATCTCTCCCTGTTCTCTGAATCTTCTTTCCTTGCTCTCAATTTTTTTAAATCTTTCTCTGCTGTGTTTTGTCCCCAAACTTCTTTAATTAGTCTGCCATCTTCTCTCCTATATACATGGCCAGCCCACCTTAGTCTTCTACTCTTTGTTTCTCCTACTATGTCTGGGGAATGGTACATGTCCCTTACTTCTTGGTTGTGCCCGATTCTCCACCCTAATAATATATAATTTATAAATAGATAAATAGATAAATATATTTATAGATATATATATATAAATACAGCCGATATAAATAAATACACCCCATTATTTACTGTAATGGTTATGATAATTTTTCTATTAATTATGGATTAAACTGAGTTCTCTATCTATTTTTCCATATAAATCAACTGGAGACAATTGTAAGGCTAAGTTCCGTCCAGCTTATGTTCAGGACGGCTCTTTGCTATATTATTTTTAACCATTTAACTAGTTTTAAAACTATTTCAAAAATATTTAAAGAGCTTTTAGAAGAAAATTGCTTGTCTTGTTATGAGTGCAACCAAAGATCTAAGCAGTAATTGTAATCTACCTTTTAATATAAGATGAGAACATTTAGTCAACATTACCTCTAACTAACATAAAACACACTTCACAATTTTACAGTTGAGTAAACAATTATTACTAGCCTACATTCAAAGTCAATGCTAGAACCCTGGTATGGAACCCTAATTGATACCTGCCTAGCAAAGGTGTCGATTGGCGAGTTTGTTTCCTCATCGCTGTACTGATTGTTTCAGCCTGTGTGAACTGTGTGCGATGGAGCTACTCGGGCAAGTATCTGGCGTCTGGAGGAGACGACAAGATGATCATGGTTTGGGTCATCAGCAAATCTGGTGAGTAACCGAACGTTTGGTTACAGTTACTTTGGTAGAGTTAAGCTGAAGGTTCGGTGGATCAAAACTGGACTCAGTCACAGAAAAGTAAGGTACAGAGGAAACACGCTTATGGGACAAATGTGCGCTTTCAGCTCTGGTATGTTGTACTGGAAACATACTTGTGATGAGTAAGGAGGAGCTTGCACGGCAAGCACTGTGCGGAAATTTCTTCTCACAAGGCACAGGGGGTCTTCCTCCACCATGAGCGATGTAGTACATGATGGAGAGGGGGGTGGTGTTGGACCTTGCCCTAGACACCAGCACTATTGCTAGACACCATTTAGGTGTACCATGGAGTGTCTGTATCTTACTCTGTGACTCAGATGATCTCAGAAACATATCTACCATATAATCATTATTAATTTTTTTAGTTATCTTCAGCTAATATAGTGTGTCAGTATTGTATTTATATTATATTTATTTATTTTGTTTTTTTATCACGCCAATGCCATTAGTTTGGGGCTAAGATTATTGGAGGATGGGTGTAGAATAATTATAGTGATAGCCTTGTTGTTGATTAAGACCAGCTGAGCTCTCATTTTTTAGCGAGGATCGATTTATCAAAAGTCTTATAACTCGAGGTCAACTGAGCTTAGCTTCAAACTGTCAAAAATGCCTCAATTTTTTTTTCAATTGAACCAGCAACATTAGGATCATTATTCAAAGTTGTAGACAGATAAAATAAATGTTTAAACAACTTTGTACTGTATAAAATTTGCATATAAAGAGTAAACAGATAAAAATGTAAAGGATTTTTTTCTTTGTTGTGGGTTTCTCTGCAATTCAGAGTTAGTGCTTAGTTACTGTAAATTTATCAATTCCTTCTTTTAGTACTGTAGGTCACTCTTTACTTTATTTAATACTATCTTTGGTTTGTAGTCTTGGGTGTAAACAAATTGAACATTATTAGAGAGTGGTTATTTTTTTAGAAATTTATAAACAAAAATTTCACAACTCACAATTGCCTTACTTTGATGTGTTGGTAGGAGGTGGATCCGTGTTCGGCAGCAAGGGAGCGGTGAACGTTGAGTCTTGGCGTTGTGTGTCGACACTCAAGCGACACGACGGAGACGTGCTGGACATTGCGTGGTCGCCTCACGACGTCTGGCTGGCCACATGCTCCGTGGACAACACAGTCATAGTGTGGGACGCACACAAACTACCAGGTACAATCCAAACTGTTTGTTGTAATTTGTAATAATAGACGTTTATGTTGCCCTACAGTAGAGTCTCGAGTATCTAAACTAGCCCAGCAAGGTTGGATAAACAAAAAGGTAGGATAACACAGGAAATACAAATAAACATGTTAAAAATTATTAAATTGATAAAGTTTCTCTGTTGTAAAACCTTGTGGCTGCAAAGGAACTACTTCTGTTTCAAAGCTGTCATGACAAACAACAAAATACCCCACCATAGCAAACCTGTAGACTAAGCAAATTTTTTTTCGCTCGGTTGGATTTTCACTTAAATATTTCCTTAAAGATTTCCGATGAAGAAACTTTTTTTATTGACTACTCCCTCTTTTAAGTTAATTTGTTTTATTTTTTGTTTAAATTTTTTTGTCTGACGTAGGCCTATGCTAATTATATTTATCTCTGAATAGGCCTAAATAACTATTATGACTGAGTTGGATTGCGGGGAGCAGCTGTCATGGTAAAACTCCTTAGTTCAAACATATGTATGACTAGCTGTTGTACCCGTGCTTTGCAACGGGAAGAGAATACGAAATAGAAACATTTTGATCTTTACATCTGTTGTTAAAATAGTTACACATAAGCCTTTTAAAAACATAATTTAACCTTTATGGCTTTTATAGGATAGATGTTGTCATAAATGTAAAAAAATAATAGTACTGCACCCTGTTGGTAAACCTTGTAACTTTTTAATGTTATTCAATATCATAGAACCAACTTGTGTAGTTGAAACAGCGGACAAAATTCTTTTATTCCTTTTAAATATGATTACTCATAAGGTTAACATGGGAAACTCCAGAGCCACTGGGGCGGAGCTCGATAGGACTTTTGAGATAAGAATGCGTCTATATGTTAATCGGAAAAGTGAGCTATCATCATGCCAAATTTCAGCCCAATCCGACCAGTATTTTTCGTGTTTACTTGTCACAAACATACATCCGTACATCCATACATCCAAACTTTCTCATTTATAATATTAAGTAGGATTAAGATGAAATTTGAAATAAAGTTTACATTCCCCACTGATGTTGCAGAGGTGGTGGCAGTACTGAAGGGTCACACGGGTCTGGTGAAGGGAGTGACGTGGGACCCGGTGGGGAAGTACCTCAGTACACAGTCAGACGACAAGAGTCTGCGTATCTGGCGCACAGTGGACTGGCAGGAGGAGGCTGTCATAAACAAGCCATTCCAAGAGGTAAAGTCAGTACTTAACCTCTACGTGAAGAACTAATTCAATCTGAACTCAGTGTATGATTGGACGTTTTTAATTGTTCAACTACTACTTTATTTTAAAGTTTGAATGTTGTAATATACGAATCCTCTTCAGGGTTAGGTTATGTTAGGTTAGGTTTGATTAGGTTAACAAACTGAGAACTTACCTAAAACTTCATGTTCACGGGTTTATAAATTTGATATGCAGAGATTATATGAAATTTAACACTGTGTGTTTGTTATCATCAGTAACCAATAAGAAATTGAGTTAGGTATGTACAGCGAATATAGCTGGGCACCTCAGTGGTTATAGTGCTTGCCTGGTAATAAAAAGGTCGCCAGTTCGATCCTGAGAAAAATTGTAGCTTTTTGATGGTTAAAAACTGGACCCAGCTGTCCTTGTCCATTGGACTTTTAATAAATGGTCCGACCGGATGGACTGATGAAACAACTGATTTTAGTCAGTAACAAGGCTACACAATGCATCTCACTCCATTCTACACTCATCCTTTACTCATATTCAGGTTAAAATACAAGCATAGGTGGCGTCCTCATCTCAAATGATAATGAAAAAAATACTACTAAAATCACATGCCATAACTGTTTGATATGACTCCATAAGTCAAGACAACTCATTTTGTCACTCTTAATAAACTGATCTCAAAATATTTTATTTTTAATGCACTGTTTATCTCTCTTAGATTATTAGTCGCAGTGCAAACATGTGACTGAGTAGGCAGTTGTTACCTTATTAGTTGGTAACATTTGTGGAATGTGTAGTGTTTCCACTTCGTAATTTATTTTTTATCATATTTGCGATGGTTACTTCAAAAGAGAACATCTCAAAGTTTTTAATATGTTTTATTATATTATTTTATTTTGTCTGTGGTAACACAATCCTACTGCTTATTCAACCTCACCACAGCCAGTTTGGCTCAAATAGTCAATTCTCTACTTTAGATAGTCTAGGCTATGCCCATGCTGGAGCCATTACATATTCAGTTCTGCTAAAAAATTGTACACAACTGTATTATCCATGAATGTTTGCAGTGCGCGGGAACCACCCTAGTGTTGAGGCTGAGTTGGTCGCCTGATGGCCAGTATCTGGTGTCGGCGCACGCCATGAACGGCTCAGGGCCAACAGCGCAGATAATAGAACGTGACGGCTGGCGGCATGACATTGACTTTGTGGGACACAGAAAAGCCGTCACATGCGTTGTAAGCAATGTCTTTATTTTGTTTAGTGCTTGTTTTGAGGTGAACCAGTGAAACACTGTTCCGAGACTTCTTTCTCTGTAGAGAATTTTTGAAAAAGTTTAACTACAGTATTTAAAGATAATTCCAAGGGTGGTTCCTTATGAATGCTCTATATTTGAACACAAAACTTGACACTCAAAGAAAATATTCTCATTATTGTGTATTAAAAAAAAAAATTATTTTGTCTGGTTTTTTTTGTTTTTTTTTTTTGTTTTTTGTAATTCAAAGTTGGCCATTTTACATTTGAAGTAAAACTGCTATCCCAACAAAAATCCTCAACACCCAGGCCCTTGTGCATCTTGCAGCTATATTGTCAAACTATACAACTTTTACTTTTATTTTACAATGTGAACTTTTTGTCAACTGCCTGGAACTCTTAGGTAAGTTAATTGTCAATCCATTCTTTCATCATCCATCCCTCTTATCCATCCTTTATTGCTAAACCAAGTGCACTTCTCCAAAAACTAACTACAAAGAGTTTTAAGAACCCCAATTAAAATATTTTAATATTTTCAGCGTTTCAACTCCAACATCCTTCAGCGGGATTTTTCGCGCACAGGCAAGACACAGCACGCGTGTTGTTGTGCGATCGGCTCGCGCGACAAGGCCATCTCCGTGTGGGTGACGGCACTCAAGCGACCTCTTGTGGCAATGCAGAACCTCTTCAGTAGACCAGTGTTGGACCTCAGCTGGAGCACCAGTGGTCTGCAGCTGATGGCTTGCTCTTTGGACGGTACTGTTGCGTACTTTGAGTTTACCGAGGAAGAGCTCGGACGGCCCCTCACTGTTGAGGAGAAGGTCAGTATCGTTGGTTCTATGATTGACTCGGTTTTAACCATTGACTATTGGATACTGAAGTAGACATCCCATCTATATGGACCAGCTGTTCCTAATTTTTATTTTAAAAAGCTTTATTTTTTGTTGTTGATGTGTCATAAAATTTGCTATAGCTCTCATTAAGTTATTCCATCAGGTTGACTTATGAAGTAAGTTTGTGTATGGTAATTTACATTAGCAATATCTGCAGTTGGCTTACATAAACAACGATTTTAAAACTGGTGACAACTTTAACATAGGAATGGAATGTCTAGTTGTACCAATAAAGTTTTAAACTGTATTGAGAATAAAGTGTGTTAATAATGCTTTTTTGAATTGGAAAATGGTCTCTACCACAAGATATTTTCAACTTAAACCTCCTCTGGTTGGAAATGCTGTCAGTTGCTGTGAAATATTCAAATATTTTACGTTTTGTGCTTTTGCTAAAACAAACTCTTTTCCAATCATGTTAACCTTAAAATGAATACACTAGAATCTCGCTGATCTGGACTAATGTGGCGGACGTCCAGTCCGAATTACAAAGAATCCGGACTATCGAGAGTTGAGCAAATACAATACCGTATATAGCCGTTTTTTTTCAATTTTGTTCCAGGTCCACAGTATTGATAGCCGTGCAAATGCAGTTCCACCGGTAATAATTTTTACCGCCGCCGTGTTATCCGAGTTTTTGATTATACAAGGTATTCTCAGTCCGGTTTAGCTCAGATAATCGGACTACTATTGTACTATGCTACTAAAAAAAATCACGATTGCCGATCCGGACTAGCGGTTGTCCGGACAAGGCCAATCCGGATGAGCGAGAGTCTACTGTATTGTATAGTGTAGATACATCTCTTACCAAAGTTGATAGTTTTATGTTTCTGTGCAGAATGCGTTGTATGAGAAGACGTATGGAAAGTCGTTTGCCTCCAGTCAACCCACTTCTGCCGGTCTGCTGGAGAACCCGTCATTGGTGATGTCCAAGAAATCCGTCCCCGAGTCCCAGGTAGGTCTCTTAGTTCTTTCACTTTGTAAGACAAGTGATCTCAGTTTTATTGGTCTCTTATGGTCGTTTTTAGTCATGAAAATTTTATTTTTTTTAAGAAATTTTACTGCACTTGCTACTTGGATTAGCGTTTTAAGCTATCACTTATTAGTTTCAGGACAGTTATTACTATTAGTGGTTTTATTCTTTTGTGAGTACTACAATTAGTGATTCACACAAAAAGTTCACAATGCAAGTGATATGATATTTTGCCCCTACAAGGGGGCTTATTCAGAAGGAATGTGGTAGTATAGTTTTAGAAAGAGTCATTTGAAGAGGCTCCCTGGGCTGAAGTATAAAACTCTTTTGGGTAAGATATTTTTTGTATATATTTAACATGATCGTAGTTTGTAACTAGTCCTTGAATGTTATACAGGTAGCTGTGGCTAAGGTTGCCACGACACCAGCCCCTGCACCTGCACCTGCCCCAATGGCTGAGCCTATCCTTCCCCCTGTTCCCGTCAATAAGAAACAGATTGAGACTCGCACTTCGGACGGAAAACGCCGCATCACTCCAGTCTTTATACCTCCTGTCAAAGATTCTGGGTGAGTTTATTTTGTACCGACTTTGATACTAAGGTAGACATCCCATCCACATGGACCAGTTGTAGCTAATTTTTCATTGAAATTGCACATAGTTGAATGAGCCACTCTTTTAGTTTTCAATATTTTTTAGATGATAATGTATAACATAAAAACTGTTATAGTTTTTGGCAGGTTTTTTTCATGGTTTAGTAAAAAGTCAGAGTATATGACATAAATCACATTAATAACATAAATTGATAGGATCACATCAATAGACAATAGCTCAATTTAAGTTTGTTTCGTTTTAAAATTTACTACAACTTTAACATGAAAATTTAAAAACATTAACAGGAATCTTTAAATATTATTGCCATTACAGGAAAATATCCGACATTTTTCCCAGATTGCAGAAGATGATCACTATGTACTAGAGATTATAACATATAAAGTTGTTCATATTGTTATGGGTTTTACAGTTGATTTTTTAAAGTAATAAAGCGAGGATCGATTTTACAGATATTGTATTGTATTTTACTACATTGTTTCCAGGATTTTACCATAAGAAATTCTTTCAATTTTATGACAATAGTTGAGTTATATCAATTGAATAGTTGCAATGGTAGACTTAGTTAATTTAATTTTTTTCTTATCATTATGTCCAGATTTGCTCCTATGACATTTGCCTTCAGCCTTGTACGTTTCTTCCGACCTTGACCCCAGTATGTTAACTCCGACCATGACCCCAGTATGTTACCTCCGACCTTGACCCCAGTATTTTACCAACCCTGATCTCATTATGTTACCACCGACCCTGGTCCCAGTATGTTAGCTCTGACCTTGACCCCCATTATGAGTTACCTCCGACCCTGACCCCATTAGGTTTCTTTTGACCCTGATCTCATTATGTTACCTTTGACCCTAACCCCATTACGTTACCTTAGACCCTAATCCCTGTAAGTTATACCTCTGACCCTGATCCCTGATGAGCCGCACTGATCATTCCTGTGTTCTAGTGAGGGTCCAGCTCCGTTCATGGCCGAGGAGATTCGGTCATCCTCTTCACAGGCGACCCATAGCCGCATAGAAACTGTCCGTCGGGATGAAATTGTCGCCCCCAATGTTTCCACTCCAGTTGAAGTACAAGAACAGCCAAAAAGGCAACGGTAAGAAATCGGGATCAATATTTCTGATGCCTTTCCTGCCATAGTTCCTCAGACCTGTAATATTAATTGTCCTTTGCTATTGATCTTCCCTACATCCCTCTGCTGATTTAATCCTATCACTTCTGATTCTCCATTAGTCTTCAGTCATTATTTTACGCTGTCTTCAACAGTCTTCACTCCATATTATATTTTTTTCCATCACTCTAAAAGCCTTCTTTTTATCTGGTTTTCCTGAAGACATATTTTCTAGAATTTCTTCTCTCACAAACCGAACGTTGGCCAAAAGCACTTCTTCAAAGTGATTGAAATGTTTTTATTGTTGTTTAGTTTAGTTCCTTCGTTTCTATTCACAGGTTTTTATCAATGCTTAGGCTTTTAATTATAAATCAAATCATAAATTGTTCTCTTTTCACAAACTATCTCGTTTTTTTAGAGCTTCAAAGACTTGATATTGGTTTAAGATAGAAATTTTTACCACTCACAAGTCTTAACCAATTTTAATACTACTTACTTTGTCACTTTCTATTTTTAAATTTAATGAAATTCATCAGTTTGTTAATTAAGTATAAAATACATCAAGGAGGAAGAAATTGATATACAACTAACTAACATACCTAGGAAAATATTTTCATTTAGTAGATAGCAGACAACAATTTTTTTCTGTGCTACCAACTGAAACTCGTTCCGTTGATTTCGTATCCATTACTTCCTCAATGTAATCGTGATCGTAAGACAAGTTCTCTTTTTTTTAATTATCAAGTATGAATGATGCATCTAGGTTGATAGAAGATGCGCCTAGTGTCCAAAAGCCAGTTGCCCCGTTTAAGCGTAATTTGGACAAGACACTGACTGCTATTAGCAAGCGGCCGGCCAAGCTGGCGGGGGCCGGGACAGCTGCAAGCGGGGCCGTGTGTCAGGCGGCACCAGCAGCAGGAGAGTCTCTAACACTGCCTTGTCCTCAACTACGGCCAATCACACGATATTTTGTGAGTATCAACATTGACCTTGGTTTAAGTATAGACCAGCCTTTGAGCTGTGTAATATAATGTAGGATTTAATTACTCACACTATTCTTGTCAGACAGTTCGAAGATTTTATTCAGGACATGTATTGGTGTTAGAAACCCAACATCGGTTTCAGGTACTTTGGAAGTTCTTCAGTTAAAAACATTGTCGTATTAGAATAAAAAATACAGTAGACCCCTTAACCGACCTCGCATTAACCGATAATCGGATTATCCGCCCTCGCTCGTGAAATATTACAGTTTGTTTTAACTGACCTTGTTTCGAAAGCAGTTCGGTTTAAACCACCGCTTTCTAGGAAACTCAGCATTTCCGCTCCCACGCTCGGCGATGGGAACAATACGCTTAACTTCACAGGATGTTACAGACTAAAATAAACCTGTACCTATTGTAACAAAATGGTTGCTTATACTGCATATTTATAACAATAATTTCTGTACTGTTTTACGATGGATTTGGAAAGCATCAATTAATATTAGGCCTACTAAAGGTATTAAAATAGGAATTTTTATTGACTCTTGCTTAAAATACCTAATAGTTAATTCCACTGAAAGTATTTTACTTTACCGTGTTTGGGTTTATTTGTGACATTTCTATCGTCAATACTTATGGCGAACTGAAAAATGAAGAATAAAATGATAAAAGGAATTAAGAGTAGGCCTAGTTTATTTTGTAAATAGTACACGCAGGACTTTAGAATAGTGATTGTAAAATTCCAAATGAATAGCACTTCATTTTAACCGTTTTAACCAGCCTTTTGAGTTATCCGACCTAGGTCTGGTTCCGTTATGGTCAGTTAAGAGGGTGTCAACTGTATCGTGATATTTCAGTCCATAGAGCCAAAACCCCCCGGACTGGAGCTGTTATAGGACCAGGTCCTCTTCAGCCGTCATATTGGATAAACACTTTGTACTTACGTAGGTACAATAAATGAAAAACATTAAAACAATTTACATAAAATGTACAACAGGCCTGTTGGTAAAATATTTGCCCAAAATTTGAGTAGGAAGTTAACCTTTTAGTACAAAGTTTTATCACTCGGGGAATTTTACAGATACCAGGATCGTCCAAGTGTCTTCTGATAGAGAACGAGTCTTGTTTGAGTCCATTTGGACGACTGACACAAGTCAAGCTGAAAATGGCTGAACGACTGCTGTGGGAAACAGTGCTAGGTCAGTTCACTCGCACTATGTATTAATTTTTAGATGTACTTATTGATGAGTTTGATAAAGTATAACTTAACTACAATTTCGTTGTCTTCAATCTGTGTGTAATTTAAATGTTCATCTTGTGCTCATGTGCATTAATAGTTCCATTACTGTTAAGGACAGCCATCTGTAATGAAGTCCACAAGTTAGCTGTAAAATTACAAGGGAAATTCCTAAAATGTTGTATCTAATTGCGACTGTGGAAACCTTACTTTTACTTATATATCTTTAAAATGTTCTTTTTGTTGAATAACATTATTTCAACGGATGACTAAAATCATCGGATGGTTGGTTACGGAAATATTGAGTTGTTCACAGTCAGCCTAATGTGTACTTAAAAAACCTTCCAAATCCCAAAAGTTGGGAAACGGTACTGTTTATGTTTTGTCTGTAAGAATCAACTAGGACCGAAGACTCAAAAAATCCAAGGGGGAAAAATTATTATAATATCAGATAGTAAAATAATTTTAAGGGATAGAAATAAACTAGATCTGAGAAAATTGAAGTCAAGGAGTTAAAAGAAAAAGATATACAAAATTTGCTTATCGGTGTGAAAAAGCACAGATTTTCTGTAGAAAAGTAGACTAGTGGAATTTTTTCTAATAACTTAAGTGTTTATTGTGTATTATGTAGCTGCTGGACTCTAATTTTCTCAGGCTAGATGAACTCTATCCTTCTTCCATAAATTCCCTAACCAACATCTTATGAAAAATTATATTTTAAGCTAATGTTCATTTGTTCAATGTTGCAGGCAGTGTGGTGTGTGTGTACGCAGCCAACCCCACGCTAGTGGTGCTGGGCTGTGCGGACGGCACAGCTCATGTGTACGACACAGTGAGTGGCGCCCGTGTGATCCCTGCTGTGATGCTAGGCGCTGCCCCGGTGCACGTGGCGCTCTCTGGTGCCAAACTGCTGTGTATCTCTGGCGCCGGGCTGATGAGCGTTTGGTGTATGCAGAAACGCACCAGTCTGGTCAGTGACGTCAGTGTGCGACCTATCATGTCTGGTGCAGGTACGAGAATTGTTTGTTATGTAAACAAACATGGTTGTGTCGATATTCTGACCTTAGCCATCCAACTTTCCCTGTGGACAACCACTTTTGCTTTCTTTGTTTCTACGCAGAACGCTTTAGTTACCTGCACTTTAGGTTGTTACCAGAGACTGAAGATGGGTTTTGATGAGAACTCAAAATATAACTCCACATTTTTTTAGTAATTGTGTATAATTTTAATTTAATGAATAGTAACCAACAAACCAAGAATAACATTGATAATGCCATCGCGAAAAAAACATACTGGAATGAATTACCTGCACTTATACGTTCCCGTTCTTTTTCTGCACACTACGTATTTTGTTAACTCTTCACACCTATATACCTCTCTGCTACCCCACCCCAAACGACTTAGTTGTAGTGTGAATATCGCTTTATCTGATTCTCAACAACTTTGTGTTTTTTATACTTTATCTGTTATTTTTTATGTTATTCGTAAAAATGATTTAAAAGTGGGGAATGGTATCAATAAAATACAAAAGATATTCTGGATTTTGCAGTAATCCCAGAAGTCGACCATGATGTCTTCACGACTGCAGATGTAACACTATTACCTCTAGTTTGGCTTGACTGAAAATATCAGACTGGCTCACCTCTGGTTATAAAAAAATTGTCTATATCGTTAGACCTTCATTTACTTTTGATATGGGGATAAATACTATAAAAAAAAACAAACTTAAAGCCTTGAATAGTTTTTACAATGGAGAAACTGTTTTAATCCATTGATTTGTAACATGTTTACATTAGTGTTTTTCTGTGCTCTCACTCATCAAGACCTGTTTAAAGATAAACGACACTTGTATTGTACTTTAAACATCGACCTTTCCTTGCTTTGTAATTCTACATTATTCAGGGTTGCCACCAGCCATGAAAACCTTGAAACGCGTGAATTATGCGTGAATTTAGGTGACCATGAAAAAGTGCGTGAATTATGCGTGAATTTCGTCATTGGACCATGAATTCTCAAAATCATTATTAACAATTCAGCCAAAACCCCTAAATGTGCTGAATCAAATACTCCGTATTAAAACCATTCTCGAAATGAACACCGAGATAAAACGTCAAAGTGGGAGTGTCGAGATAAAAAATTTTGTTGCCATGCCACGAACAGAAACGATTGCGTAGTTTATTCAAGGTCAAATCCGATCGTAACCGACGTCAGCCGAGTAGTCTAGAGATGGGAATTATCGTTGTTTTCCGGCAACGGTTATAACGATAACGCAGCTGCCCAATAACGTGTTGCGGCAACCTATTATTTCAATAACGATTGCCAACTCGTTGCCGTTGCCGCTATAAACCGTTGTCCGCCGGTCGGTGTTGCGGCGTTCAGTTATCATTGTCGGTTGATCAGTTCAGTTTTCAGTTGTCGGGAGTCGGGCGTTGCCGCGTTGTCCAGACAGGATGCGTTATTCTAGTTCGTTTCAGAAGTTATCGTTGCTCTGGTAGCGTTGCGGCAACGGCACTAATGGCAATGCATGTTTTCGTTTTCGTTGTCGCGCGGCTTTCCTGCAACATTGTGTAGATAGATACGTTATTATAATAACAGGGAGTTCTCCACAACGTGTTGCCGCGATAACGTTGCCGTGACCGCAACACTGTTATTCATCCTGTTATGTTATAACGCCCATCCCTACCGAGTACCGATCTACCGATAAAATCGATGCTTTCGGAGCTAAAACATCGATCACATCGATGTTTGTTCCGAGTTTCTCGTCTGGTCTAAATAAACCAACACAGCCAATTAACCTAAAACCAATACAATTCAGTTACGGAAAACATCAATATTTCATTACTTTTGTTGGCCTAAAAGACTGATGTAACAAACCAAATCATCGGTTCGGTAATCTACCATCGATGTAAACAAATAACTTCGAACATCGATAGAAAAGACATCGATGTTTCGAAAACATCGACAATCGGAATTGATGCTCGCTCGCTCGCTCTCCTCTAATCTCTACTCTCAACTCAACAGTCTCAGTTCGTGTGGAAGGAAATACAGAGTAACCATAACCTAAAAGTTTTAAACTGATCTGAAACTTAGAATAGAAACGAGTCAAACGTTTGAAGTAGTGGTGGACACTGGACAGGACAGTAAGATCACTTGTTGCACTCGTGATTCAGTTTTGTGCTTCTTATAATTGATTACCCAACACTCAGTGGAACAAGTGTTCAGATTAAATATTTTTTATTACTGATATATTATACTTCCGATACTTTACAACGTTAAAATAAGAAGTACCTTGCCTTGCCATAAAGGTCAAAATGGCTTGCGCCGGCTGGAACTTAATCGTCTTCTGTGTTTGTTTTGGTCATATTATGTCGTCATTTCAAACTACTGTCAGTGTTGAGTAAATGTGTTACAACGTGAGATTAAGTTTATTTATTTAGTCCTGAAGTCAATATTGTGCTGAAAAATGGTGATTTCGTTCTGAGGAAGGTAAATGTGGTAAATGTTTTGTTGAAGCATAATAACTAGGTGTTTTCAGTCAATACGAATCTAACTAATGAGATGTAAATTTAATTAAATAATTGTTTTAACTGTGATTTAAACCTGTGTAGGCAAAAAATAATGTATAAACTGATCCAATCTGAAGAAACATCCTCCTAACTAAGTTTATTTTAACATTTTCTGTAATGTAATTAATTATTTTTTTATTACTTAATGTAAGTTAGCCTATGTCTAAACTTACATACATTCCATAACTTTTGTTTCGTTCTTAGCTTTAACTAAATATTTATTTACATAATCTTACCTTTTTAGACTGTTTTTATCAGTCAGTTGGTAACCTTTAATCTTCTCAATAAATAAAAGTTGGTTCAGGCCTAACTTAGCCTAGATTCAGCTTTGGATTACTGTACAATGTAGGCTAGTCTACTGTGTTACAGTATAAAGTAATAAAGTGCATGTGCGTTTTAGTAGGCCTAGATATGGCCCATTACTAAGTTAACCGTTTCTTGATCATGTTCTTAACATTTGTTTTTATAGTAGCCTATTATCTTAATTTGATGTTTAGACAGTAAAGTTCTAGGCCATTGCTGGATTAACTAAGTTAAACCTTTTATGTTTGGATGCAATGTTTTTTAGGTTAGGCCTAGACCTAACTACCAATCCGACTTATTTTTTTATTTATTATTTCTTCTAACGTTTGAATTTATCATTAGGCCTATGATGTTGTTAAATCAGATGTTTCAATTTTTTTTAATAATTAGGCCTACATCGTATTATTACACACAAGATTTTTATTAATATCTTTTTTCATCTGTGATTTTACTTTTTTAGACTGGATAAATTATATTAAATTCTTATTTTTAACTCTAAAATAAACGCATGAAATGTGTTTTATTTGATAGTAGCACACAAAACTATATATTGTCGATAAATTAATGTACAATTCTGAACTAGGCAACACTTTTTTATGGTGAAATTGTGCGAGCATATACCCCATGAATTTTTCAAAACTACCAATGAAAACCTTGAATTATGCATGAATTTTTTTATCTCACCTTGGTGGCAACCCTGATTATTGCAAAAGTGGTAATTTTATTATAACCTTGTCTTATTATTTCACGCAGGTCGCATCAACCGATGCTCCGTGACACAGGCAGGTGTACCAACAGTTGTGTTGGACTCAGGACGAGCTTTCATGTACTCACTTGAGTTTAAGACCTGGTAAGGCTTTTTTTTGTTGAAATATTTTTGTGTCACTAACAATTTACAAACAAGTTGAACACCTTTAAGTCCTTTTATTTTTTACACTGTATACACAATGTCTTAAATGGATAGTATCATTGACTATACACAGAATAAACTTCCCATGTAATGTAAAAGTTTTTGCCAAAAATCGTGGTGCAATCTGTTGACATGGTCACCAACTAATGACAATATTTTGTGTTAATTATTGATAAATCAATCAGCTGTTTGCTATGATACTGCGTTGGTTTGAATTAATACTAGGGGCCCACAGCAGCACTTTCACCTCCGTTGTAATTTGGCCTTAACCATTCCCTATGCTGTGGTCCATTCCTAAATACTCTCCTTTGTAGTCCCAGCCTTTCTCTAACAATACAATTTCAACACTGCATTACCATTCTAACCTAAAAACAGGACGCTAAAATTAGGGATGGACGGGATTGAATTTTTAGTTCGGGACGGGACGGGATATTTTTTCCTTCCCGATTTTCGGGACGGGACGGGACGGGATTTTTTTCTGTGCATAATAAGAAAGTCTTGAGTATTGCAGTTACCAAAAAAGGCATACGAAATCAATCTTTACCGTTTGTGGCACTGATCAATAAAAACAAAAAATGGGTAACAATTTTTCAGGTACCTATAGAAACTTGTGACTCGCGGTCGAAAGGACTCGCGGTCACGGGGTGATCGTCGGTATGACTCGCGGTCACGGCATGATCGTCGGTATGACTCACGGTCACGGCGCGATCGTCAGTATGACTCCGCGGTCACGGGGTGATCGTCGGTATAACTCCGCGGTCACGGGGTGATCGTCGGTATGACTCGCGGTCATAGCGCGATCGTCGGTATGACTCCGCGGTCACGGCGTGATTTTCGGTATGACTCCGCGGTCACGGCGTGATTGTCGGTATGACTCCGCGGTCACGGCGTGATCGTCGGTATGACTCCGCGGTCATGGCGTGATCGTCGGTATGACTCCGTGGTCACGGCGTGATCGTCGGTATGACTCGCGGTCACGGCATGATCGACGGTATGACTCACGGTCACGGCACGATCGTTGGTATGACTCCGCGGTCACGGGGGTCCGCGGTCACGGGGTGATCGTCGGTATGACTCGCGGTAACGGGGTGATCGTCGGTATGACTCGCAGTCATAGCGCGATCGTCGGTATGACTCCGCGGTCACGGCGTGATCGTCGGTATGACTCCGCGGTCATGGCGTGATCGTCGGTATGACTCCGTGGTCACAGCGTGATCGTCGGTATGACTCCGCGGTCACGGCGTGATCGTCGGTATGACTCCGCGGTCACGGCGTGATCATCGGTATGACTCCGTGGTCACGGCGTGATCGTCGGTATGACTCCGCGGTCACGGCGTGATTGTCGGTATGACTGCGCGGTCACGGCGTGATCGTCGGTACGACTCTGCGGTCACGGCATGATCGTCGGTATGACTCCGTGGTTATGGCGTGATCGTCGGTATGACTCCGCGGTCAAGGCGTGATCATCGGTATGGCTCCGCGGTCACGGCGCGATCGTCGGTATGACTCCGCGGTCACGGCGCGATCGTCGGTATGACTCCGCAGTCACGGCGTGATCGTCGGTATGACTCCGTGGTCACGGCGTGAGCGTCGGTATGACTCTGAGGTCACGGCGCGATCGCCGGTATGTCTCCGCGGTCACGGCGTGATCGTCGGTATGACTCCGTGGTCACGGCGTGAGCGTCGGTATGACTCTGAGGTCACGGCGCGATCGCCGGTATGTCTCCGCGGTCACGGCGTGATCGTCGGTATGACTCCGTGGTCACGGCACGATCGTCGTTATGACTCCGTGGTCACGGCGCAATCGTCGAAACGACTTCGTCTCCTGGGTTCGCGGACCTATCGCTCGCAATAGCGGCGTCATCGGCACTCGCGAAGCGGCAAAATCGCCGAAAAATTCCCGAAATTTCGGGACCCGTCCATCCCTAGCTAAAATCAATAAACAGACAAATACGCAATGTTTACATCAGCTGGTATATTTAACAGCTTATAGAAACACTGTACCAGTACTTCCATTAGAAAATGACTGGATCTTTACGGCCTGTGGGCAGAGCAGGGGTAATTTTTGACACTTTTGATATTTTCCCCACCGTCCTTGGACCTTAAACTTTAAAATAAATCCTCAACAGCCATGCTACCTTTTTCCTAGCTCGAGATATTTCGTGGGGACCGATTCGCTTACAGAATTACATATATAGATTTAACCCAATACACTAGTATAATCGGGTGAGATAGTCCTGAACGTCATCTATATTCTTGGCTTCAAATTTGTATATCACATGGGAAGTCTTTTATAGAGGTTAGAAAGCTAGCTGGCTCTACTTGTGTAATCAACTTGCTGAAGTATCTTGATTTCCACCAACATTTATGCCACTATATCACTATGAAATTTAAGCTGGAATGTATAGTTTGTAATAGGTAATCCAGTTAGTTGTTGTTGCGAATTTAGTGACAAGAACTTTGTACTCCTACAAAGGCAACAGTTAAAGCAGTCAATTTATCCTCTACTCTTATAATTATCACCAAGATTTGTTAATGTCAATTAGCTATTGTAATCTATTGAGTAATGTAATCTATTGGTCGGGTAATCTACTAACTATACAAACTATGATCGAGGCCACCGCACATTAGGCTACAGTATTGATCAAGTAATGTATATTTCATGGACGTGTTTCTGTGCAGGATGAGAATGGCTGACAATAAAGATGCGGCTGTGCTCAACACACAGAAGTCGTTCCAGTCTGCGTGGCAGAGTCTTCCTGACAACGGAACTGTGCCACTACGTACAGCTCAGTCATACTGTCATAACAGGTAATCATATTATTACTAGAGACAGCAACACCACCCATGTGCTTATTTTAAGCTGAATATTAGTGTTTTTAGCAGAGTGTAATCAAATGAGATGATCTGTGAAGCTTTGTTGCTGAATAAGAACAGCTGTTACATTAGACAGGCTGTTTTTGAAAGCCAAATGATCATGGATACCTGGATCCTGTTTTGAACAATCAAAAAGCTTGTAATTTGTCTTGGGATTAAAACAGCAGCCTATTGATGGTAGGCAAACACTAAACAACTCAGCTGTTTTCCAATAAAATTAACAATTATTATGCCGGTTTTATCTTGCCAATTTAAGAAATATTCTGAGTGAAATGCTTGGATAAAGTATATATATTGTAATTATGGGATATAGAGTGCAAGAACCTAGATTTTAAGGAGTTTTGACCCAACTGTTAACAAATGTCTTATCATACGTTCTTACTTACTATCAGACCTGAATACAACTCTCTCCTACTCAAAAACTGTCGGTGACAGTAAAATATTCAAACCTATTCTGTTAATTGTGAAAAAAAATTTTTTTTTTTGTAATGATATAACTACCAACAAATTTGATTTAGGCTAGGTTAGGTTTGAATCAAACACATAACCTAAATTTTCAATTGTGTATTGTTCCATACAAATTATATAGTGGTGAACAGAAAAAGTCCAAATATTCTAATTTTTGTGTACACAAAGTATTGTATTTCATCCGCCCAAGTGAAATTTTTCCCATATAGGTTGAGGTAAGCCTGCTATCCTCTATATTAACGTGAATGTTTTGTGTGACAGTTTGGAGCGAAGTCTGATGCATCGTCAAGACAACACCGGTGTTTGTACGCAGGGTTATCTGGAGGAGCAGCTTGTGATATGTAGAGCACTAGCGTCCGCCACGGAGTATCGCTTCTGGCTCACAACCTACGTCCGCTTCCTGTTACAAGACGGTCAGTTTACGTACTTAGCTTGAAAATTGTGTTGTCCTTTGTGGAAACTTTAACTTTTCACTCTACCGTGTAACTTCATTTTTTATTTTGGCTGTAATACTAACAGAACTCAGACAAACATAGTAAATTGACATCTCAGCCATCACAATTTTATCTTCACCAGATAAAGATACCAGCTCCACCTGGACCAGCACCAGCTGTACCCAGCTGTGTGTGATACCAGCTGTATACTCAGGGTGAATCAGACATTTTTTCGTTGGGTAAACATATTGGGTTACATGGTTTTTTGCCGGTGGAATTTTTTGGATGCGATGAAACAGAGATTGTTATTTGAAATGCTTTATGAGAAAGCAGTCCAAACCTATGTGTTTTGTTGATGTGTCGGGAATCGAACCCGTCTCCTGCAATTAAGCTCGAGACGCTAACCACTAGGCTAGTAACACTCACATATTGATATACCAAGTAAAGTTTCTGTAATTATATAAGAATTTGTTTCACAATCTATTAACATATTTTAAACATAAACCTCAGAATCATCCTACATACACACACACCTAAATAGGACTAATTTAAAAGTAACCTCAGTTGGTTTCAAGTGATGCAACTTTTGATAGATATAATCTATATTTTCCATCAATATCCTTTATTTGGTATGCATTTGTTTGGTTTTAGTTTCTTCCTTTAATAGTTTTTTAGTGTTTCACTCATGTCCGAGTATTAGGTGAATATCTAATTTTTGGCTCGGCACTTACGATTTTCACTTTCCAATTATGAGTATAACGAGGAGCCGCCCCGATTTTTTCCCTTACCAAAGGTGGCAACCCTGAAGTATATTAAGTCAGAGATGAAATATTCTTCCATCCAAAGAAATTTTTCATTTATTTTGTTTTACTATTAGATGTATACATAATATCAACATTGATGGGGCCTTAAGATTTAGATATAGCTTGACCTATGATGACCCCTTTTTATCACTTCTGACCCAGTGAAAATTGAAATAAAAGAGTTAGATTAAGTCATTTTCCAAGATTGTAGTGCTGCTTTTTCCCTTTATATTTTCTCCACATTCCCCATTGTTTTATTGTTTTCGTGTTACAGGCCTGGAAAGTAGGCTGCGACTGATCTGTGAGACACTGATGAGAGAGGCCTGTGAGTCTGATCCCAACTGTCTCTGGAACCCGACCCCTCTGGTAAGTGTGAAATCAGCTAGGAAACACAATGTCACCCTGTCAAATGCTAAGTGTTTTCTAGGTTGGGGCAATGACACACTTGCCCAAACACAACCAACACCAGTAATTGAATATTTCGTAATGGACCATCGGGTCTAGGAGCGAGCTGATCTAGTAAGAGAGCATGGGAATTTGGTCTCCAAGGTCCAGCTGGTTCAAATCCCACAAATCACGAATGGATTATGTCAAAGCCTTAAGTAAATTAAATAATTATCCTGTGCTAGGCCTGGTCACAATCAATTGTGACTCGAGCACTACCTTTTACTTAACCCAACCAATATCAACTTTTCAAACAAACAGTGCACTCCTGCATTGTTCCATGTGGTTTGGTGATAACTTTAGTAACGTAATATCACAGTTAGTTTTTGTGTCTTACGATGAGAGTTTTATAGTAATTAAAGAGAAGCCTAGCTTCATGTTAACATAGTTGAATCAGTTGAATTAATTTCAGTGTTTTTTTAAAATCATAATTGATGTTTTTTTTTTTAGTTTAAAGTGTATTTGTCACACATTCATGTTAATATGTCAGGGTCAGGAGTTACGTTTCTTCCAGTTTTGGTTGCTTAATCAACATTTTGTTACCATTTGTAATTTTTCTAACCTTAACCAGTCAATAAGTAAAGAATTTTTGTGTATGGGTTTTGCAATTTGGGATTTGATTATTATGTTTCGGTTTATTACTAAGGTCCAGATTTGAACCATCAAAAAGCTGCTGAATTTGTTCGTAATCAAACTGGATTTCTATAATCTTTTGTATCTTGCTTCTTATCTCAACCAAAATCTTATAGAGGGTATGTTTGATCAATAACTGTACATTGATTAGATTGTTTATTTCTCATTCCCTTTCCATGCCTTATGTCTTCCAGGGAATTGATCGAATGACGTTACTAAGAGAGGTTCTCAACGAGATGGCTTCCAGTCCGCAAGCACAAAGACTGTACACGGAGTTTAACGAGCAACTTCAGTCTTCCATTACTTGAACACCTGATCTCATTTATGCATTACTCGTCTTGTGATATCAGTTTAGCTTTAAGCTTGTCATACTGCCAACAATGTGTGTGCAACACAAAATTTAGTAGATGAAGTAGAATAAATACTATGTGACTTGCACAGTCAACAATGAATGAAGTACAATGTTAAGTTAGGCTTAGTGTATTTTCTTTGCCATACCTTTCAGGTATACATTAGATATTTTTTTAACTGGCTATTTTCATCATGAAAATTGTGTTTGCTCTGTGAGTAGTGTATTTTATCTTGAAATTAGTGAATTCATTTGACCAATATCAGTTTCTAAATCAATAGTTAGTGGAGCTATGAATATTTCTATTTTTATAACGTATTTACTATAATAATTTTTCTACTCGCTATTTTAATCCTGAAACTAGTTTTTTTGCTCTTTGAGTAGTGAATTATTTAAAACAAGTGAAGTTTTATAGTTGCTGACAAACGTGTATCTCAAACAATAGAAAGTCAGGATGTAAGTAATTTTATTTTGATAATTCATTGAATGAAATTAAAGTATTTCTGTTACCTAATAAAATAAATAGGATATAGTTTTGTATTTATTATACTAATAAAACTGTCTACCATCAGTGATGTGTTAGTTAATTTATGTATGAGAAAATTAAACATGATTTTAAATTGAATTGTTTAGATATTTCCTTAAACCTTTGACATACTAAACTAGATAAAATTATTTTTATATATCATGTTGAAATAGTTGCCAATTTTAGGATTAATAATATTGGTATAATCTGTCAAAGTGTGCTGCTGTTGATTTTTTTTTTCAAACAAACTTTAGTCTATAATTATTTCAAAACTAAAATAGCAACTTATTATGAGCATAGCATCTTTTATGTGTCCATTATGTATCTATAACTTTTCAAATACTCTATAACTGCCATAGCTGCACATTCCGCTATGTTTTTTAATTTTTTTACTAATAACACTGACTTAAGCCGTTTCATGTAAATGGAATGTCTCCTACTCCAACATCCAAAGCCAATGGCAAAACTAACGTCATAGTTACCATTTGGAGCTAAACATCTTGTCCTATCCCAAGTGTGATTTTAAACTAAAAAATATAATCTTGCAAGAATAAAGGCTCATGCATGGTTGCCACCTTTTGTTAGGTATCGGGATGTGCCCTCCCTCCCCCTGGATTAACATAAGCTCATAAGCATAAACTCGGGCATAAGGGAACGTGCCGACAGAATCGGAATGGGTGGCAACCCCAGGATCATAGCAAGCCAAATTCACTTAATAAAAACTTGTTCTAATTATTCCTTTGCTTTAAACCTACACTTTGGACTTTTTAGTTTTAATAAATTTTATGTGTCTGAGCAATTCTGGTAAGCTTAGTACTAACAACTGATAAGTGCTTGAGAATAAAGGAATTTTAATTTCTGGAGCCATGAGTGCTAAGAATGGTCCAAAAACATCTTATAACTTAGTGAAACCTCTTTACAATACGGGAAATAGTACACTGCCATAATTGTATGAAATAATGCAATGAAAATTTGTGCTAATCTAAATTTGTAATTTATGTTGAATAAACAAACTTTTTACAAAGTCGAACTAATAGAATGACTTATTATGAGCTATAGCAAATATGACCCATCACCCATGTCAGCAACAAAAAATTAGGAGATAGAAGTTTAGACTCTAGCGCATTCTGTGACTGTCTCACAACGATTTTGAGTAATACAAGGTCCATTCAGAAAGCAAGATATGTTTCTGTCTGACGCTGATTGGACTTACTAGTACAAACATGGTTCACCTCCTTGATGACTCTTGCTGTAACATTGGAAGTGTTTTTGTTCTGCCCAATGTCACAATATTAAAGTTTTAAATGTGTGCTGCATTTGAAATATCCACTCTGGGTTGCGGTCTTTAATACAGTTTTGTTGGCCACTAACTTAAAAGTTAAAACCCATAAAAATCCATCATGTAGCGTACAGAAAGAACGTAATAAATTAAAGTTCTGTCCAGACATGGTGATTTCAGTTTAAAAATGGGAAAACAAAAGTTGACACCAATAATTTTGTTTTTGCATTGCAATGCCTTAAAACCTCTAACTCCAAATTGTGCATAAGATCTTATTCAGTCATTCATTTGTTCTAATGGGAGATTTTCCCTCAATCCTACAGTCCAGTCCTTGCTCCGAGTGACTTTTACTTCCGTCCCAAAATTAAGGGTTGGTTTAGCAGCACACCATTTTTATTAGAGTGAGGAGCTCCAATGATGTGTCTATTGGTGGCTCGTCTTGCAGGTAACAGAATTCTAAAAAAAAGGAATTTCAAAGCTCATCCAGTGCTTATAAAATTTGTTTGACATTACAGTATGTAAAAAAGTATTATTTTGGTCGCTCTTTCAAATGTATGGTTAAAAAATGGTCTTGTAAAAACGTTTTATTGTATTCCAATATATTCCATACTTTCTGAAAGTAGTACCTTTTACCAAAAAAAAATGCTTCAACATTGTAATTCAATTTACAAACATTTAAGATTTTATTAATAACCTTAAAATTCAGTATAAAAATGTCTTTGTTCTTTGAGCAATATCTTTTATGACGTATGTCATCGCTCGTGTCCGAATTCTGCCGGACCAACTCCTGCCAACTGTATTGCTATTGCTATTAATTGCTTGTTAAAATAGATAACTTAAGATGGGTTCCACAACGTCTTGCTGTGTAGAATGGTGTTATTTGTCTACTGTTGTATTAATGTAACTATTATAATTATGCAACAGTAGCATCGGCAGACGACAGCCATCTTATTTTTGCCGGCAAAATATTGTTTATTTACTCCTAAAAAGTTCTTACTGTAAGTGTTGTGTGTGCCCATTTTCATCACGAAATTAATGCACTATTTAACAAAAATTATATTTCCCGAGAATTGGTAGGAAAATATAGTTCCACCCAGAGCATAAAATATTACGTCAAATCTTTATGCAGTGTGATACATTAAATATATTCCGTTCACAGTTCATTCAATTCTAAACGGTGGCCTAACCACTCACACAAATCATGATCTACAAAACTAACGTTTGCAGTTCCTAGAAGCGCTGCATTTACGGTGGCTGGGTTTTTAAAAGCCAAACTCCGCATTACTATTGCCAACCCCATAGACCACATTGGTTCATAAAATACAGGACATTTTGATAGATTGACTAGGTTGGTAGCACTGCTGCACTGAATCTGCACACGACCACAGACTGACCTTGACATCAATAAAAGCAAATAACAGGTGATTCGATCGCCTTCGCCGTGACATAACAAAGGATATTAAAGTTAACCCTGAAATACTCTCTTGTCATTCTGGTCTCTAAAATAATTATTTCGTTTGAAAGACTTAATTTTAGTTGGCATACCATTTATATATTTATTTGGTTACTTTACCATACAAGTATTAAATTATTTATTTGGGGATTTAGCATAGGCGTATCAGATTAATCAAATCAATTATTAAATTTCAGTCCATCTTGAACTTGACTCACAAAATGACTGACCATCGGCATCAGTATTTTTAATAGTAAAAAATTCACACCATGTACATTTATGTTTAATTTAGAAAATTTATATTATCTGCTTTGCATTTCATTTAGATAAAACTACTGGAACATAATGTACCATGAACTTAACAGATTAGTTAGAAATATTCCACAATATGCTGTTTGCGGTTGGGACCCTTATTTTATGTTTTCACTTGATGTTTTTTTGGTTCAGACCTTGAAGTTCCCAAGATGGACATTAATTCGTAATAAAAATAAATGGTCTCCATGTCAATACAAGGATATGAGCAAAATTTTTACATGAATACATTTAACTTACACTGTTTACATTGCAAAAAGTTTAAACCTATTTTATTCTGACAGTTTCACAGATGCCGATTAGTTAAACTAAAATAGGTAGTTACATAGGTAGTTTGGTGAAAATGCTGTGATCAAAGAGGGCATCGTTGCCGTTTTTCTACAGAAAGTAATGTTTAGGAATTAAATCGTTTTTTCGTTCTCACCTTCGTTATCGATGCGAAGTAAGCCTACTATAATTCAATAAATAAATGTCATACTGCAACTCAAAACAAATTCCTATAGTACAAACAAAATATAATTAAAGATGGCCGTCGTATGTAGATCAGGGTTCTAGTGAAGTGGAAAAGCAAATTCAGACTTTATTTAAAGACCCGGATGTTTATTTTGTCATTTGTTTTGTGGCTTTCCGAGACTTAAGATAAGGTTTGTTGCACTTAGGCTCTGACTTTTGGAACTTAAATTACCTTATCTCACAGTCAAGATAAGATCAAGAACCATGACGAAAGATCGTAACTAAAACTGTATTCAAACTAATTAAACTAGACTCCATTTTACTTTATTACTGTTCATACAAACCCATTATCGAGTCAATTCCATTCAAAATAATTAATTTCACAACATTTTTAATTTACAATGCCGTATTGAAATACAACGCAGTCTGTCAGATTTTGCAAAAAATCATTAAATTGTAGTTTTATTTCGTCAACGCATTTGAAATATATTTGATACATTTTTTAACCCAATTTGGGTTTTGCAGATCATATTTCCGAGTTTTATTCAGTTGTTATTTACAACAAAAAAATCACTGATAGTAATTTAAACCGGTTTGAACAGGTCCCGGTATTACAAACTCAGCTGAGAAAGCATTAAATAGCTTATCTATGCCTTTGTGTAGACAAAAAATTCATAATACCGGTAGGTATTCAGGTAATAAAACCTTAAAGACGATAAGAGAGCAACACTTCTGTAGAATTTACTGCGAATTCAAAAATGCGGAACCATCACAGAAATATACTTATTTATGGCCTATGATGGCAATTTGATACTTCACTTATTACATTTGAGCGTTCGTTTAGCGATCGTTTTCCACCAGATTTACTTCAAATTTAGTCTGGACCTCCCCTTTCTGATATAGGTTAAGGCCCGTAGGGGCTTCTTGGATAAGAAAATTCCTACTCCGATATAATTAAAGGTATTTTATCTCAAAAATGTCGCAATTACATTGACAGCAATAGAATAGTTCAAACATTAAAACGAAAAAAAAAAACCATGTTAGGGTATTTTCCATCTTTTCAGCGCTTTATTTATTTAATTCATAATTTATATACATTTTTATTTCAATTCAAAATTTTTAAATTTGCTCCACATAATCGTATATGACATCGGTATGATGTGGGGTCTAGATGTTTTGGGATTATTAAATATATACAAATTATTTTGCTTAACAATTACATTTAATAGCTTCAGTGATACACAAATAAACTTACTGATAACTATTCCTTGTAGTCTTTCAAGAAAGGATGGTCCAATGTCAAACAACCTCTTAGCACCAACTCTTCGACCATGTTCCTGAGCAGCTCCGTCCCCTCGTCACCTCCTAGCTTGGCGTTGAAGTCACCTACCTCCTCCAGGGTGAGGTCTTGCATAGCCTCCATGTCCATGGCCTCGCCCCATAGCATCATGGGGAGAAAGAACGATACGTGGGCGAACCCGTAAATAGCCTTGAGTCTCAATTCTTGTTGCAGCGTCGCCAAGGACGGTACCATCACGTCACGTGATGTTTCAGCCACGGCTGAGGTCAACGAGGAATGGTAGCGACTCAGCAGAAAGTCCCAGTGAGCATCCCTTGCCGCAGAAGTTGAGTTCATCAACAGGAAGAACGCGATGTCTACCGCAGGCGAGGCGTAACGCGCTGTAGCCACGTCGAAGAACCTGACATCCACAGGGACCTCTGGCTCTGAGGAGTACTTGAACAGCATGTTGTTCCTACAGAAATCTCCGTGACAAAGAACAGCCGTTGGTTCCTCAGGAGCTACCAACTCCTTCATGAATCCCACAACACCTCCTGGGCGATCTAGTCGTGAGAGCAGACGACGCAGTACCTTCTCGTGTTTACCTGCGGTGATCAAGGGGTCCATTGCACGGTGGAAGCACTTCCGGATAGTAGTGTCTCCCCAACCTGGCCTCATCTCGTCCCATGACGTTTCCTTCAGTTTTGCGACCATTTCGTAAAATTTCGTGGGGTTGTCCTTTTTCGCGACGTACGAAAGAGCGTGGAACCTCCCGAGTTTTTCCATCGCTAGTTGTAAATGTTGGATGTCTAGGAACACTTTTTCCGTTGTTAACTTGAACCCTTTTGGTCTTAAGTCCTCGATAATTATAACGTCTTTATCCGGGTCAACTATCGTAGCCACTCCGTAGTAAAATGTAGGAAACGTGTTTTCGCAAATGTAATTTTTATTAATAACCGGAAGAAGATCGCCGTACATAAAAATCTCGTTGAAAAACTGGACATTGGTATTAAGCTCTTTTCTTATATTTTCGTCTACCGGTTCAAATTTAACCACTAATGGAAGTTTAATGTTGGCATCTTCTTTTTTCACTGTCGCGGTAAGAAAAAATACACTAGATTGGAAATTGTCTTGCGCTTCGTATTTCTTGTCGAACTCACAGTCAACGAAAGTTGATCCTTTCTTGTTGAATGCCACGGGTAAAATAACTTCTTTCAAAATCGTTTCCGACATTCCGAATAGGATCAGTCAACACTCTACGTATAAATCCTTCCACTACACCACCAGTACTCACTCGCTACACTGTTGATGACTGCTTCAGTTTTCAGTTGAAAGAACCACACGACACGGTGCTGACCGACTGACAAAAACGGAGAAGGACGGACAAACGTGACAACGCACGGCGACTGCCCGAACCCGAGCCCGATGCCCGACTGCCGAGTGCCGACTGCCGAGCCGACTGTAGGACTGTACAGTTACAACACTACAACAGTACTACGTGTACGTACAAGCATGATGGTAGTGGTAGTGGTAGTGTGTGTATAGCGTATTGGAGTGGCTGCACTGTGTCTGTCAGAGCGACAATCTCAGTGTAGCCAACCTTCCGTAATAAAACACATGTCCCCTTTAACCTTAAACGAATATAACAATCACCATATATAATTTATTATAGAAACTACGCTTTCCATGCAAATTCTTAAAAACTTTTTAAAATTAAAAAGCTATGTCTGAGAACAGTCTTCTGATGATGAAAATAGAATCGTTTGTCTACGTAAACTTATTATTTTTTTTGTAAATATGATTAATAATCATGGTTTAAAATACATTTTAGTTGCCATTGGGTAATTAAAGTATACCTTTTAGCGAATTTCCCATATAGGGAATAAGCTATTACCGTAGTACTCATGGTAAGACCTGGACGCGGGACCGATTTTTTATTTCGTTTCGAGGTCCCTAGAGGCCAAAAACACCATCCGTTCAAATTCATATATATATATATATATATATAAATAAAGATTAAACATTAATAAACTTAGTACCCAAGTAAAATTATTTATTAAAATATTTACTGACTATAGTTTCGGCTCTAAGGCCATTTTCAAAGTAAACAAAAATCAAAATAAGATATGTAAATAAATAAATAACATATGATATTATAAAACTTTTCTAACTTGTAACATAATTTTGTCTTCATTGATTAATTTATATACTATATGATGTGTTGTACTTATTTTCATTAATATTTTCTCAATTTTGCTATTTTTTCATATATTGGATTATTCAATTTTGGAATCATTGTATTTAAAATGTTTGATTTGTTATTTTTGTAGTTCATATAAATATTAATTTCTTCTTTTACATTCAATTTTTCTCTGTCTTTTTCAATTTCTAATATTGTTAAGTTTTCTTCGATCTTAGTAAACTTATGTTTGGATTTTAGTAAATGATCTGCAAAATTTGATTTCATTGATGTTTTGTTCTTCGATTTATATGCCTGTATATGTTCGTTGAATCTAACTTTAAAATTTCGATAGGTTTGTCCAATGTAGTAGTTGTCACAGTCAGAACATTTAATTTTGTAGATACCAGATGCATTGTATATATTTGCTGTATTGTTTGTTATAGGATTGTTGGTTTTATTTTGTATGATTTTAAAAATGTTATTTTTTGTTCTGTAGCTTAATTTTACTGGGGTATGTTTGAATGTTTTCCTGATTGCTTTGTTAAAATTGTTGTTGTATGGGACGCACATGAATTTCTTTTCTTCTTTGTGTTTCGAATTGTTTTCTAAGTTTGATTTTAATTCATTTCTTTTCTTAATTTTCTTCTTGATCATATTATCAATCATTTTGCTTCTATATCCATTTTTTTCAGCTAGATATTTTATAGTGTCGACTTCTTTCTTGTAATTTTCTTTATTTAAAGGAACGTTGACTAATCTGTGTATTAATGAATGAAAAGTTGCAATTTTGTGTGTCCATGGATGATTCGAATGTTTTGGAATTATTATGTCTGTAGTTGTGGGTTTTCTGAATATGTTAAAAGAATGTTTGTTGTTTTGAATGGAAATTGTTAGATCTAGGAAATTGATTTCTTTTTGTTGGGTTTCTTTGGTGAATTTAATTTTCTTATTAATATTGTTGAGATACGTTAATAATTGTTCAGATTCATTGTCATTTCCTTTAAAGCATAAAATGTCATCTACATATCTGTACCAATAAACAATGTTGTTTATGAATGGATTTGTGTCATTATTAATTTTGGATTTTTCCATTTCTGTCATAAAGATTTCTGATAAAAGTCCTGAAAGGGGAGATCCCATTGGTAGACCATCTTCTTGAAGATAGAAAGACGAATCATAACTAAAGTAATTTTGCGTAACAGTTACCTCTGTAAGTTTAATGTTCCGTATATATATATATATATATATATATGTGTGTGTCCGTTAGCACGATAGCTCGAGCAAAAATGATCCGATTTTGATGAAATTTGGTACAAACGTGTAAACCTACGTTTATTTGAACGAGTTCGCAATCCAGCATGATCGGACCATGGGAACGGGGGTTTAAGGGGGGTTTTATGGGGTAAAAATAGGTTTTTCCCATTTTTGACCCATAAACATAAAATTTAGCAATTTCTTTCCAAACCATTTTGTAGAGCTTAAAAAAACAAATAATTTAGTATATTGAAGTGTTATTATGCGCCTAATGGTTACGGAGAAAATTCCAAAAAATTGTAAATTTAAAATTCCCATGTTATTCTTATGGAGAATAAGTAAATTGTTGTAGTTTGCTTGTTTATGAACATATTTTGATCAAATTTGGAAAATGTTTTATTTCTTACTAAACTATTATCATTTTATAAAAAAAAAATCTTTTTTTATATGCCAACCCCGTACGAAGGACGGGTACTCTGCTAGTAGGAAATAAATGTGCTATTTTTATGGAGGCATTTTAGTGTAAATCCAATCAGGTTAATTGAAATTCGCTTAGTCTGCAGGTTTGCTGCGGCGGGGGTATTTGCACTTTAAGTTACGTGTTTTATGTCTTTCAAGAAACATGTGTGCACTGATAAATCTTATGGGAATGGTGTATGGTGCGAGACATGCGCTTGGAACTCGGGGCTCCGCAAGGAACGTATATTCAACATGGTGCGTACACACTAACCAGGAATATTTAGAACAGAAGCGGTATGGATCATAAAAATAAACAAATTATACCGGCCTTAAAGTAAACATTATTTCATTACCTACCTAAAATGGAACTGGCCAAACCATATATTAATATTATAGTTTAGACCAGGCCTATAGGTTATTCGGGCCAGTTCAAGGCTCCACTAGAAAAAAACTAGTTCGGGCCAGTTACGTTATTTGTTTATGTTTATGATCCATTTTCTTTTTTGTTCTATGTTCGTGGTAAAAATTGACTATGTGGTACCATATACTAACCATTATGTTTTATCTATGGTGGTACTAGACATTTTTTTTATATTGGTGCTCAGTCTATAAAAACTCCTCAACGTCTCTAGTATATTCTTCTAGAACTGTATGTTGTAGACCCATACTAGAGACGTTGAGGGGTTTTTTATAGACTGAGCACCGATAGAAAAAAATTGGTGAGTACCACCATAGATAAAACATAATGGTTCGTCTATGGTATCACGAACATAGAATTATTATTGTATAACGTGGTTATGAGCAAATAAGTAAATGTAAGTACTTGGGGGTAAATGCGTTACTGAGGAAGGTCCCAGAGCTGCGAAAGCAATAGCTGTGAATGGTTCACAATTCCTACAGTACAGATGAATCAATCTAGAATTGGAACCATGCCACTAGCATTTAATTGTCATTTTTACCGTTTACTATTGGAGTCTTCACCGCAGTCCATGAAGACCGGGGAATTGTCAAACTTTCTTAATCATTCTTTTTATATACTTCAACATTACAGGTTATTTGTTTAAAGATGTTCCGATGTACCTGTGTGTGTGTGTGCACTGTATACATTATCAAATATATGTTGCGAAACTTATTCTTCTTTCTATTATACTATATCAATCATGTGGCTGGTCGACTGGTCTTTCTTTTTGTTACGTTGGTTATTCTATTCTACCTCTACTCTCTACTCTAGTCTAGTCGCTTCGCTGCCGGCTGTCTGCTGACGTAACGTTCAGAGGGTGGAAAAAATGGCTGGTGTTGTCAGTGTTGCCACTTTTAGGGTAATTACCCTTTTCTAGGGTAATTTACTAGTCTTAGGGTAAAGTTTAGGGTAATTGTAGATTTAGGGTAATTTTAGGGTAAAACAAAAAGTTGGCATAACAATGGAAATTTAACTAAAAACATGAAAATAAACTTCAAAATTTGGCAAAAAACGTTCATTACCTATATATTATGGCCAAAACCGTCATATGCGATTCAACCGGTTTAAAAATCGGTTGTTATGATGCATTTTTCATAAGTTTATCGATCTTATGCATGGTGGAAGGAAAAAACATGATCTAATCAATAGTTGTGAATTATCTATTTCAGATTGTGTTCAATTCTATAACACGTTATAATAAAATATGACATATTATTAATTACTTCTTGATTTTTAATTATGTGATTGAATTGAATTAAACTAGGATTATTTTACAAATTGTGTCAAAAAATTACTGCTAAGTATAGTTAAAGCTTTGGTGTTACCGTACTGTATTATAAAGATATGATTGTCCAAAAACAGTTAGTAGGCTAAATTAGGCTAACTGTGTGGGTCGACACAGTAAGAAAATACGATATATCTTGATTCGATATTTTTCGTATATACAATAGAGCTGAATATCGACATTTTGTTCTTCTTCTTCATTTTTTTTAGAATCGAGTATAATTTTACGTATATTGATTGATATTGGAACCTTATTTAGTTTAATTAACCACCTTATGTAAGATTTATATCATTTTAACAATGTTTTATAGCATTAAACGCAAATATTAACATTTAGGGTAATTTTTAGGGTAACTCAAAGTAGATTTAGGGTAATTTAGGGTAATTTTAGTTCGCCTTTAGGGTAAAATCGCAACAACGAGGTGGCAACACTGGGTGTTGTCGAAATCTGGTGACATCGTGGTAGTGCTAGTCATGCTATAATATATCGTTTAAGGCGTTGTTCACTGTTTCGCCAGACATTTGTTTTGTATTTTAGAACATTTTTACTAATTTCAAAATGAGTGTTGACGCTTACGGTCCGAGTTCACAAACTCTAACATTTCTAGACACGGAAGAAGCAGACTTGATTGGCGCGGACACCCAGGGATCCGAGTTTGACTTCACAGATTTTACACTTCCATCTCAAAGTCAAACACAAGCTTCCCAATTAGACCCTGTTCAACCCCAGACTCAGGTAAACTGAATTCATGCAGGGCTAAAATATTATTTAGCCATAGCCTAGGCCTACTCAATATGTTGGAGGAAATAGGCTATCTAAAGATTCCTCCAAGTAGCCTAGGTTTGGATTGTTGACTTGTAATAGGCCTAGACCTAGTTATATATAAAGCCAGTAGTTAGGCCTGAGCTCTCAGTAAGGTTTGTAAACAAGATCGATTTTTCTAATGTTGTAGTAAGCACAGCAGAAAATTCCATACTGGTAAGTGAAGTGGACCTTTAATGAGGCCATGTGCTTCGTGTTCAATGCAGTCAGTAGGTCTATCCTAGCCTACACACAACTCGAGTTAGTATGATCTTGTACAGGTATTGCCGATGCTATACAAACTCGGAATGTTTGAGTCTGACTCGCAAAACTTTGAAACACTATTGGCCTTTTGGCTCAAAGCTTTAAGTACCGTAGAGCAAGTCAAAAAATCGAACTCGTACGGAGAAAGCCGAATGTCTACGAACTTGGAATGTAACGAGTTGACTGGCAAAACTTAAATGCTATTGGCTGAATTTGAGTTGAGCCGACTTGCCAAACTACATATAAGGAACCCTATTGGCTGTGCTGCGAGTCAACCCGAACTCGACCGATGAAAGCGGAGGTCTCACGATGATACAGAGTTGAGTCTGACTCGAATTAACATAGTCGTGAGTCGAGTTTGAGTCGAGTCAAGGAAATACTTGATTTGTCACATTACTAATAGTGGGTCATTGAAGATTATCTCTATTTATATCTTATATTCATGGTTTGGATTGAGGCTATAAAGTATGGTAGCTTAGGCTAGGCCTAAGATAATAGTTTTACAGCAAGCAGGCCTACTGTGATGATTACTTAATTCAAGGGAAACTATAATTTGTCTGCTTTATGACTGATTTTTACTTCAGCGTTAATGTACCAATCTTCTACTGTACCTGGCTCAGATAGCATTGAATGGTTTGCTTAACTTGTAAATTTTTCAGGTTAATGGTAAAATCAGCACAGACACTGTGGAAAACAATGTTGTGGCGGTTACTCAGAAACTAGGAGAGTTGCAGTTTGAAGAAGAAGAAGAGGAGGCATATTACAACAAGGTACGGTAACACCTAAGAATGGCTCTTAAGTATTTTTTGTAGCTAACATAAATAATGAATTCAGTGGCGGCGATAAGAACCCGCGGGCCCCCCCCCGCAAGTTTGTTCGCCGGGCCCCCTTCTCCCAATGATCTTTAAAAACATTTTCCCATGTATTACCGCCTAAAATTGCAATTTTTCAATAAACTTGACAAGGCATCTCCCGAGGCGTAATTATCGTCTTCCATGATCGCGGCAAAATCGTAAATACTTCCCCGAAGTCAAAAGTCATGGAAGAAACATTATCATAGTTTACCGTGATTGCAAATGCAACCAAACCTATTACATCATTAGATTGCAGCATCATCGTCTCCCGCACTCACGCAAGGCCCCACTAGAATCACGGCCCAATCTAATATAACGGCCAAATATCTCCCCGCGACCCGTCGGTGGTGACGAGTAAATCATTTTTCCGTTCCGTAATTGCGGCTAAATCCTAGATATATCTCTCGCTAAAAAAGAAACGTCATTATCGTCTTCCATAATCGCGGTACCGTAAAACGGGGTGACTTGAGCCCAGTGGGGTGACTTGAGCCCAAAACGCAAGAAAAAGTTTTGAATTTTCGTTTCAGAAAACCTAAATGATTTATCAAAAGGTTTTATATATCAATTTGAAGGATACCTAATTAGCTTTCACCACAAACGATTCCAATTATTTTAACTGTCCATTTTAATAATTATAAAAAATAATAATGTTAACACGTCCGAATCTGAATTTCATTACGTTGAAAAAAGGTTATCGGCACAATGGGTATTTGCACTTGAATGAAAATAAAACTATTTTTCCCCATTTCATTATTTCCTTGACAACACAAACATGTTGAAGCATGTTTGATTATGTAATGGTTTAAGTCAGTATGACCTGGGTTTACCTTATCATGACCAAGTTTGGCAGATTTTGGGGTGACTTGAGCCCACCTGTGTTTAAGTGGTAGGTAACGTTTGTTCAGCATGGTAACCAGCCTTCAACATCTACCAGCACTTTAACATCACCACCAGTAAAAAGAAAGAAAAAAGCAGCAGTGAGCAAAGATTCAGATACTAGCAGTGAAAGTGAACCAGAGAGTGTATATTCAGAGTATAGTGAGTTCGAAGAAGAAGATTTTGATGATATATTAGAAATGCAAGCACCAGAAAAGGGAAGTAGCAAGAAGATAGAAACTAAATTAAGTAGCAAGAAAAATGAAAGAAAAATTTTTTCCAAGATAAAAGAAAAATGTGAAACAAAAACTAGTGCTTATGAAAAAGGCTGCTATGTCTTGGTGATGTATGAAGGCAAGTTTTTCCCTGGCATGATAACGGACATAGGTACCGGTACTGGTAATGCAGGGGAAGACTTTAAAATAAGTACAATGACCATGAGTGGTCCTAGTAATTGGAAATGGCCAGAAAAGGTAGATGAGTGCTGGTACAGCAAAGCAGAAGTTAAAAGAAAAATAGCAGCCCCCACACCCATTACCGCCAGAGGATCTTTTGCCGTTCCAGAAGTGGAAAAGTGGCGGTTAATGGACAAAGACATAAAGTAGAACAAGTGCTTTTACTAGTGTAAATAGTGTGTAGATAAAAAACAATTTGTTATTTGTACATTTAGTTAGTCTATTAATGACTGTCAAAATGTCTATTGTGAAGTTTTCTATATCGGAGTGACGAATCGGTTCGGATTAACTAGAACGAGATATTGGCAACATTTCATTTACAGAAAAAATTACTTTTTTATATTTTCAAAAATTGCTGGTGGACTTTTTCTGATTAATCATATTCAGATCTTCAATATTTGGTAAAAAATTTGTTTAAATGTTTCTGTAAGTTTTTTATAAATTTATTACAGTTTCGACGAATACTTTGTGTTTTGTTTTACACTTACCGTCATTAAACCTAAAAAAAACTGGAATTTTTAATAAAAAAAAATACCAAAATAGTCAGCTATATATGTGGGTTCAAGTCTTCTCACAGGTCAGTGCAGTGGGTCTAGTGCATTAGAATAGCATTGAAATATATCAGCTGGGTTCAAGTCACCCCGACCAACGAGGTGACTTGAGCCCACCCATATTTTATTTTTTTTTTAAATAGTTACACTAACTTTAAAAAAATCTTATTCCACACATTTGTAGAATAGACCAAGACTAAGTTTACTGTAAAAGATTTATTAAAAAAATACTTAATGGGTTTACTTTAATGAACAAGCAAAGTTCAAAAGTGGGCTCAAGTCACCCCGTTTTACGGTAAAATATTGGACATCTGTGGTCGCGGAGACATCGTCATTGTCACCCGTTGGGAAATGTTCTCGTCGATATCCGCGATCGCGGCAAAAGCGTAGGCCTAATCTTTCAATTTCGTGAGCGTGATCCTCACGGATATAAAAGCTTTTACTTTTAATTGTGCATTATTGTATTGAATACTGAGAAAATCGTCTCGAGCTTGATTTTCTGACTTTGTGCTTGATCTCTCAAGCTTGTAGTCCCGATTTTGAACCGATCTGATTTGGCCTGAGGCCCTTGGTAACATTTTTAGCTCGTTCAAGATCGGGTTGCTTATAAAAACTGTTGATTTTCTAGAATAGGCCTATAATGTTGATTTTCGAGCCGAGCAGAGCCTGGACAGCTTGAGAGATCAATCACAAAGTCAGAAAATCAAGCTCAAGGCGATTTTCTCCAGGGCTGGGAATAGCTACAGTACTAGCTGAGACTATCCCCGGCCCTGATTTTCTCAGTATTCAATACAATAATGCACAATTAAAAGTAAAAGCTTTTATATCCGTGAGGATCACGCTCACGAAATTGAAAGATTAGGCCTACGCTTTTGCCGAGATCGCGGATATCGACGAGAACATTTCCCCGCGGGTGACGATGACAGAGGCCACATTGGTTATAAATACGGCCCTATTATTATGCAACCAATTTTGACTGCGCCTTCACACAATCCACGAGTACAGTTAATGCAACCCGCATGACTGATGACAATTCTTTTACTTAGGTTGGTATAGATAATTTATATCGATCGGTCAAGTAATAGTGTTAGTTTAGTTGTTGTAAACTTCTTGAACAATAGGTTTGAACAAATTTTCATCATAAAAAAAACGTAGCCTATTTTAATTCTCATATAAATATTGTTATGATAGGGGACCCGTGTGGCTCAGCCTGTCACACTATCGCGGGCCCGTGTGCCAGTAAAATTTACCGAAAATCCCGGACAAGGCTCACGGGCCCCCCTAGCTCGCGGCCCCCCCCCCACATTTTGTAGATGTAAACAGTGTGTTTATCATGGCAAGCGAACATTTGCAAAAAAGTTAAATTGATCGTATAATTGAAGGAGTAGGTTTTTTATTGAGTGGCGGTGAAAATAGTGTTGACTATAATGACGAAGAAAATGCTGTAGGTCAGAAAAGTGACAATGGAAGTTTTGAAGACCAAGAAGATGTGGAAATGGTGGTTAAAGTTAACACTGCATTTGACCCGGCTATCGTAGGTTTAGTTGATCCACAACATGATTGTTTCTGAGATATATTTAGTTCTGCAAACTTAGGAAGACCTAACATGCATGGTGAAGGTTCTTCCTTACTTGTCACAACTATATTTCCGGCTTAACATACTGGAGCTTTTAAAGCGCACAGCTTCTACTGTTCTCCACTCTACACTCAATCCACATTGTGAAATAAAAATAATTTTAAGTAAATAATTACTAATTTCCTTCATATCTTTGTAATCTATTTTAAAGGAGCTGCCTGTCTACGCATGCAAGTACTGTGCGATCCATGACCCAGCCTGTGTAGTCATGTGCAATGTCTGCAAGAAGTGGTTTTGCAACGGACGAGGAAACACATCCGGGTCTCACATTATCAACCATTTGGTCCGCGCTAAACACAAGGTATTTTGTGATAAAAGTGTAGACTGTTATTGATCACTTATAAGGAAAACTAGCTATAATTTGACTACAGCTAAACCAAAAATTACTTATTTAGCCTATTAAATTTAAAGCTCTTGATACTATCTAATATATAAAATTCTCGTGTCACAGTGTTTGTCTGCAAACTCCTCCGGAACGACTTCACCGATCGTTATGAAATTTGGTGTGTAAATTCTGTAGGTATGCGAATCGGACGTAAACTATTTCCCGTTTCGAAATTCTTAAAAGGGCTCCGCCCCAGTGGCTCTGGAGTTTCCCATGTTAACCTTATGAGAAATGGAATTAATGAATCTTAACAGCTGTTTCAATTAAACAAGTTGGTTCTGTTCTATGATGTTCAATAGCATTAAAGTTACAAGGATTACCAACAGGGTGCAGCACTATTATTTCTTTTACATTTATGACAACAGCTAATTTGCAACCAAAAGGTGAGTGAGCGTAGCGAACGAACTTCAACCTGGAGGCGAGTTAGCATAGCGAACGAGCTAACCTGAAGGCAAGTGAGCGCAGCGAACGAGCTCCAACCTAAAGGTGAGAGAGCGTAGCGAACGAGCTCCAACCCAAAGGTGAGTGAGCGTAGCGAACGAACTTCAACCAGGACGTGATTGAGCGATGCGAACAAGATCATCTTGAAAATTAAACGTAACGGTACTCTCTTTCCATCGGTCTGTCTTAGGGGAAACCTATAACTTAGGCGATACGAAGTTCGCCGGGTCAGCTAGTTTTTTTATAAAAACCCATGTGTTCTAAGATATTTGAAATTTTTATCCTTAATTAAAATCTGTTATTGTAAAGAAGATGTGGTTTCTGTATGTTGGTTGGTTCCTTGTGAACGTCAAAATTACTGAACCTACCCGGAAATTTTACCTTTGGACCTCGTGTGGATGTATGGGTTATTTCCTCAAGGTCTATTGGAAATTTAAAAAATGGAATTATCGATTGGTCTCTATGGCAACAAAAAGAAACGCACAATGTTAACATTATTATTCTGTTAAAAAGCTGATTGAATTAAATCCTATGGATTTAAAGAAATCAAATTGGTACTGTTAGATTACTATCAATAGTGGGATCGTGTTTGCAACCATCTGCTTAACTATATTCTTTCCAGTTTTAAACAACCACATTAAGTTATTTCTTCTCTGTTCTCATATTATGATGTAAAGCTACTAAGCCTGTTTGTGTAAAACAACTTGTTAGGGTGAATCTAATATTCTCTTGGGATTATAAAATGTTAAATAATTTACAGTAAATAAAACAAGTTTTCTCTTAAAAAATAGTGCATATATTTGGTCACTGTGTGAAAATGATTTCCATTAATTCATTCATTATATCATGCCCAGTACAGATAAGAGCAAGGAAGCCACAGTTGATAGTAGGCCAAGTCTGTTATCAATGTTGTTGCCCTCTTATCACAGCTATTGAGCTATTTTTCTCTGTCAATTTGTTAGTTTAAGAGAACTGTTTAATTTGTAATACAATGTGTGTATGTTTTTGTACCGTGTTTAATTTTGTTCTATGACATTGCATATGTGAAAAATATAATCTAAATACCATGTTGAATGGTAATTAACGATTTACCTTCTAATAGGAAAAATAAGTTGGAGTTAAGAATTTGAGGTTTTGTTTTAAAATAAACCCCTACTACTGCTTCGGTAATAAATTCTTCGGGTTATATAACAATTTTTACTTAATTAGGCCTACAGATTTTAATTTGGAATTAACTTTTTGTCCCAGTTAACTTATTTTATGCCAGTAGGAAATAAGAATATCTTATGTAGCCTACTGTTGACATACCAATTATTAAAATTGGTTGGCTTCTTGAATTTGAAAAAGTTGAATACACCTCTTTTGCCTAAACTAATGATATATTGGCTTTGCCCATTTTTTAATAGAGAATTATATAGGTATATCTTATTAAGAAATAGACAAATTTTAAACAAGTTTGAGCTAAAATTTAACTTTAGTTAGCCAAAGAAGTTGTAATATAACATTGAAGCTAACTGTTACTTTACATCAATGGCCTGTTATCAACAAGCACCTGTGTTTATTTGCACAGCTGTATGTTCACACACACACTCACACACTAGACAACAAATATTAAACGTACCAGCCTAACTAATCACGGATTTATTGATGAATATTTCACTTTTTCCAACTATAGTTTTTTAACATTTCTGGTTAAATTTAATTTTGTAAAAATGATTTTTCAAGCATCATAAACTAATGAACATACTTAATGGTGTGGTTTTCTTACTATTTGATAACCATTGCTGAAATCCTAAGTCTAGGCGCACACAAGCGATTATTTTGAGGCGATTATTTCATCGGCCAATCTGTGTATCATGTATTAGAATGGAAGCGTGCACATAGGTAATCAAAATTGTGCCAATTTTAAAATCGTAGGCGAGGCGATTGTCAACCCAAAATCTGTAATGTACAGTTTGTTACCTGTCCGCGGACACGGTCGACTAAAAATCGGCCAGTCACTTTTTGTTCTCCACGTTTTGAATAATTCATTAAATGATTTCTATTAAATAAATATGTTATAGTGAGTTCAATAATGACTTACCTAAGAGTTGCTGACAGTCTTTCCTCTGGTGGAACAAGTAGTACGCATTGTGGTAGGCTACTTTTGTAAGTTATCCATTGTCCAAGTAATAGTAACAAAACTTTCAACACTCTATAGTAATTAAAGAACTTATTACTGTCATGACGTAAACAAGTGTACAATTTATAAAACTGTCTATTTAAAAGTCTCTGACTTACTATCGGTTCAACCCAATATTTACGTTATTTTCTTTTTCTTTGATCTAATTAGAAGAGCACAAACACAGGTTAATTCAACAAAGACCATTTTAGGATAGCTAAACACACTAAAAAGAAATCCATTTCTCAACTAAAAAATCGCCACATGTGCGCAGTGCGCCTAGACATAAATCAAGGCGATTTTTTTGCCGATTTTTTAAACATCGGCCGATAAAAAAATTGACCGTGTGCGCTAAGCCTATAGTAGATATCCCATTTATATGGACCAGCTTTTGCCAATTTTATACTATAAAAGAACATAGGCTTAGTTGTCTGAGCGAGTCACAGAATATAATAGTGTCTAAAATTCTATTTTCTATCTTGTTTGTTGTTGGTGACATAGTTGATGGGTTATTACAGTTGCTGTAGCTCGCAATACGTCATTCCACCAGTTTGATTTGGTAAAAAGATTTGTGTATTAAAAAAAAAATGAGTAATTTAGGTCAGCGCAATCTGCCGGTGGCTCACATTTGACTTTGACGGTTTCGATTATAAAACTAGAGACATTTATAACATAGGGATGGAATGTCTAGTATCAATAGTCAAAGGCTTAAAAGCAAACGTGGTCCTGTATGCGGTTGTATTTGTGACATGAGTGTTCTTTAGGCCCTCGAGGATGTAGTGTTTGGCACTTAAACGCTGTCCCTTTAACTCTTCAAGGCAGGTTTTCTTAACGTTTGCCAACCTTGCTACGGTAGTTTTTTCCCAAACCTTACCATCACTTGTTTTGCCCTTTCTCAGTGTTGGTGCCAGTAGAATAAACTCATAATTTCATCATGAAAATAAAATTTGTATCTTGGGTCGCAATCAACTAGAATTTTAGGTCCGGGTTCAAAACTAAATGATTCCCTAAAGGGTTCAAAACCTTTCATAGTAGCCTATTGACCTTTCATAGTTAGTTTTTGTTTTCATACTAGAAATGATAATACATCTGTCTCTGTCTTACTTCAATCAAAGACAGCTGCAAAAGTTCGAACAAATGGACATTTTGTTGTATAGAGTCCTAGTTGGAAAAAAATCACTGATTCTTCAGATGCCACTAACTGAGCCCTACGAGCTCTTGCCAATCTATAGCTGTGTCTTTATATACACGTGGCGAGGAAGGCTTGTCAAACTGACGTGAAGAATAAATGTGGAAACTCCTGAGCACTGTTGATAGCAAATGAGTTGTTTACTGTCTTGTAATGTTTGACAGGAGGTGACTCTACACAAGGACGGACCGCTGGGAGAGACAGTGCTGGAGTGTTACTCGTGTGGCGTCAGGAATGTATTTGTGTTGGGTTTCATCCCCGCCAAGGCAGACTCTGTGGTCGTGCTGTTGTGCAGACAACCCTGCGCTGCGCAGAACTCGCTCAAGGATATGAATTGGTAAATTGTCCAATTATATATGTCAAGGTTGTATTTGTAAATTTTAATGATTGAACTTTTTTAAATGTGAAGCTCAACATTCTCTACTGCAATGTGTACACATATTGCACTAATCGCATAAAACGATGACAAGTTTCCATAACTGGGAGATCTTGGCTAAACGACCGTGGGATATATTTATTTTACATTTTGCTGCAATTTCAAGAGTTGACGATGATTTCTGCAAGACCGCAGGAGATATGCAAGATTTTGTTGTGAGCGCGAAAAAGACTGTCTTAAAATAATGATAATAATAATAATGACAGTAATAGTTTTTAAGATTTATTGACCCAGTTCACTGTACTTTGCAGTGTAAATAGATTTTTCAAATAACTTTTACTTCAATATTTACCAAAAACTTATGATGACAGGGACCAAGAGATGTGGAAGCCGCTGATCGCAGACCGTAGCTTCTTGTCGTGGCTGGTCAAGGTGCCAGGGGAGCAGGAGCAGCTGCGCGCGCGTCAGGTCACGTCCACACAGATTGCCAAGCTGGAGGAGTTGTGGAGAGACAACGCAGATGCCACGTTCCAAGACTTGGAGAAGCCCGGGGTGGACGAGGAACCCCAACAGGTGTTGCTGAGGTAGGAAACTTATCTTCCAAGAAATAGCCTAACTGTTCGATTTCCAAACAGTTTTTTTTTTTTTTTTTTTGGCAGTTGTTTTTGCCTGCCAAATTTTCCATCCCTTTAACTCCTCCTTATGTGGGTTTCTGCCTTTTTCAAGCCATATTAAAATCCATCAGTGATTGAAAGCTACTACTCTTTAAATGTTGTCAAACATACAATTTACACATAAAGAGCACAACAAAATTTTAAACATAGTACACAATGTGCAACTAATACTGAAATTGGTCAAAGGGTCTGTTCTGTAACAGTCAGTTACAATTGGTTCAGGTGGTTTCCATTGTCGTTTAAATAACAAATTTATAACAAATATTTATAACAAATATTTTATCGTCTTATATTGATAAAATATAAACCAAAATTAACCTTGTTGTGTTACAGATACGAGGACGGGTATCAATACCAGAACATCTTTGGACCCCTGGTGAAGTTGGAGGCAGAGTACGACCGGAGACTGAAGGAATCCCAGACCCAGGAGAATGTGGAGGTTCGCTGGGACGTCGGCCTCAACAAGAAGATCATCGCTTACTTCACTTTGGCCAAGTCTGATGGAGGTGAGGGAAACATAACTGTTGTGTTGTGTGTTTGAATTAGAATAGTTGAATATGCCCTTCTAATATTAACAATTTTGTCAGTGCTGAATTACCTAACATTTTCTAAAACCAGTTGTTAAACCAGCGGAAATACCACTGATTGCAGAGCGTCAAAGATTGTCTTAGGCTGGTAAGCCATTATTTTGTGTTATAATCAGGTTTTCCTTATTTTAGAAGTGACATGAAATGCAGAAAATAATTAAAACAAAATTCTCCTGAATAATATTGGTAGCATCATGGAGTTTGGGCCCAAGGCAGCTATGGGTTCAGATCCTGGTCACTGCCGAAAACATTTTATCAGTACAGTTCAACTTTGTACTGTACCGGCTCACTCCTTAATTTGCTGGTTACATTAAACGCACGGGCAGTTAGTCTATGTGGACGGGCAAATGCAAGGTTATAAGAGGCCGCCAACCTTTAACAGAAAAAGAAAACCTATATCTGCCGATCGCTCCCGATGTCTACCAAGAAAAATTAGAAACCAGGGTTCTAAAGACTGGTATTATAACCTGAAGTCCTATGTTGTGTGACTTTTGTTTGTTTTGATCTATCTATAAGCCATGTGACTCTAAACTCCTCATGTAAGCTTGCTAAATTCCACCCCTTTCCAAAAACCCCCTCCTTAATCAGACATATGTTTATCCCACATCAAGTATTTGTTAGTAAAATGACTCTAATTAATTATAAAATAATTAATAGAAACACGCATATTTACTCAACACAAATTCTATTTCATGAATGTTTACAAAACAAAAACAATAGAAAAACAGATGATAGTAAAAATGTATATAAATGAAATATTGAACAGTATTAAAGAAGTTACAACAATAGTTGCTGTGGCAAAACAATTAACAGAATTCAAAGCAATCTTTTGTATACTTTTGTCTCGGAAAAGTCAGATACACTCCTGATACTACATTATTTTTCTTACGTTTCCAGACATGAAGCTTATGCACGGAGATGAGTTGAGACTGAGGTACCTGGGAGAACTACAGAAGGCTTGGTCTGGAGTTGGACACGTCATCAAGATCCCAGACAACTTCGGGGAGGAGGTCGGCCTCGAGCTTAAGTCAACCTCGGGCGCTCCTACTCAGTGTACTTCACACTTTGTAGTGGACTTCATTTGGAAATCTACTTCGTTTGATCGGTTGGTATTAGAATAATTCATATGACATAAAAGAATATAAAAACCTTTACAGAGTTTGATCTAAACTACACAGTGTTGCCATTAACTGTTCTATTTCTTATACAAGAATATTATTCACAAATCTCGCTTCAACAAACTCTATTTCCAAACTAAACCAATGTTTACAAAAACATGTTTACAATAATCATCTGACAACAAAACATATTTAAACACAAATAAATCATATGATAAAAAGAACAGACTTAATACAACATCCCGCCTCAAGATGTCCACATCTTAATGAACCTCAGTACCGCCTCGGTTTCTTAATGGACCTTCCGTAACGGGTTACTGTGCCAGCTCCTGGACGATCACGTGAGTTGCATGGACGATTATTACCTTATTACAAACAACCCAAATTTCCACCTGTCCCTGTAATGGTCCCAAAATTCGTCGCTACACGCTGGCCAAGGAGCCTTTGGCTAAAAGAACAATTAGTTTTGGTAAAGGAACTACAGTAGAGCTGTTCAGGAGGTGAGACATTAAGCTTCTTGAGTTTTGGACCCTTGAAAGACGTTACCACATAAGACACAGGTTACATTTTAAAATCAAAGCCTAGTAGTAAATCTGAGCAGTCCAATGAATCTGGATATTTTTTACGGAAAAAACCCAGTTGTTTCAATAGTAAAGTAGCTAACAAAAGTCTGAGCAAATCAACATGTATAAGTGTTAACAATTGATTTTTTGGCACAGAGTGACAATGAAGTTCACACCTTTAAAATATTACAGGTCAATACTCATTCGCAATAAGGTTTTAGAGCTTGAGCATTTTAGTAATAGTCATGATATTGATGTTATTTGTGTCTCTGAACATTGGCTCACTGAAAATTTCATTGAAATTTTACTCCTAAAGGTTATATTGCTGCTGATTTAATGTGTAGAAAGCAGAGAAAAAATGGAGACCATCTAAAAACGTTACATAAAAATATTGATTGTCTGTGTGTTGACAGGATGCAAGGGGCTCTGCGCAGGTTTGCTATTGACGAAGGCTCAGTGTCCAGCTACATTTACCATCGTCTGCTAGGACATGACTGGGACGACGCACTGTTCCGCTGCCACCTACCCAAGCACTTCTCTGCACCAAACCTGCCAGACCTCAACAGATCACAGGTTAGCCTACATTTTGTTATTTTTATTATTAGGTGTATTTTCCTCTTTGCTTAGTCACAGTTATACTTTTTTGTTTAAGATAAAATTAGCATTGGTTGTCGTTGGAGTTCCTGTGTAAGTTTTTAAAAATGTTTGGCTAGTGATGTTAGGGCTAATGCAAAAGATTGTATTTTCAAACTATGTATGTTGATTATGTTGTGTCCAGGTTTACGCAGTGAAGCACGCGCTGCAGCGGCCGCTCTCTCTGATCCAGGGTCCGCCGGGGACAGGCAAGACTGTAACATCGGCCACCATCGTGTACCAGCTAGTGAAGCAGAACAGTGGCCCAGTACTAGTGTGTGCTCCCTCTAACACTGCAGTGGACCAGCTCACTGAGAAGATACATGCCACGGGTCTCAAGGTTTGTTGACACAGCTTGCAACGAACCTAGTGACATGAGTTGGTACTGCTAAGGAAACAAAAATACTAAATCCATAAGGTCCTTTCTGACCAAGTGCCACAGTTTGCTTTGTCCCAAATAGTTTTCAGTTTAATGACAGTGTTGTAAAGTCTTGGAGATAATGCTAATTCTTCCCAACTTAAGCCTTCCTTGGCTGTAAAATAATATCAGTGATAGAGAATTGTTTTTTAATGTAGCCTCTTAGTGTTTCTTCTAGTAGACAGACTATTTCCCACGCAAGTAAGTTTTAATTCAAACGACAATACTTAAAACATATGCTTTTTAAAACCATTTACCTTAAATAATTTAAGGTAAATTATTAAGATGAATTATTCATCTTTATAAATATTTTATTTTTGAGAAAAAAACAGTTTTTCAATATCAAAAGTTTTATGTTCAGCCTCAGCATCTAGATATTTGTTATCTAATAATTTTTTTCTGTGTTTTAGGTCGTACGAGTTTGTGCCAAGTCCAGAGAGGCTATTGTTTCATCAGTGTCATTCCTTGCTCTTCACAACCAAATTCGAAAGATGGACTGGTAAGTGGAAACCAAAGCAAACCAGATTGGTTCCAGTACCACACTAGTCATGAAATCAGTTTTAAAGTACTGTCAGTACACTTATGTTACTTTGGAAATAGGTTTAGGTAACATTTATTTTTCAAGAATATTCTGGTTAGTTTTGTTCTAGGAAAGGCCTAGGCTAGGATTTTGAATAGTAGAATAAAGATACAGTAGACCCCCTCTTAACCGATAATCGGATTATCCGTCTTCGATCGTAAAATAATACAGTTTGTTTTAACCGACCTTGCTTTGAGAGCAGCTCGGTTTAACCGCCGCTTTCTAGGAATCTCGGCATTTCCGCTCCCACGCTGGGCGATGAGAACTGAACCATACGCTTATCTCCACAGGATATGACTAACAATAAGTTATTTTGTGTTGATCACAAAACATATTGCATAGCCTATTGTCAGTTTGTCATCATCGTTCGTAGCTCGAGCACATCTGATCTGATTTGTTATCTGTGCGGCAATTTATAACATCATAAAATGCGTTACGATTTTGAGAACTGATTACTGATTATCTTATCGCCGGAGTAAACAAACAACGCAACTTGTAGGGAAGGCAGGAAAGGGGGTTTAACAACTCCAAGGTCAAGATAGTTTTTGTGCCTCGAGCCTCCAGTGAGAGGCTATAAATAAACGTCCTGTTTTGTAACAAAATGGTCGCTTGTATCTTTAATGTCGACAAAAGGTTCTGTACTGTATTACGATGTTTTTGGAAAGCATCCATTAATACATTACAGTACTAAAGTTATTTAAATAGGAATTTTATTGACTCTTGTCTAGTATTATAATATATTCCACTGAAAGTAGGCCTATTTGATTTAACCGTGTTTTTTGTTTATTTGTGAATTTTCGATAAATATGAAAAAGGAGATAAAAGTAGTTTATTTTATAAATAATACAAGTATGACTTCAAAAAAATGATTATATAATTCCAAATGAATAGCACTTCATTATGTTATGATTTTAGGGATTGCCCGTTTTATCCGACCTTTTGAGTTATCCGACCTAGGTCCGGTCCCATTAGGGTCGGTTAAGAGGGGGTCTACTGTAGTAGAAAGCAGCAAGCTTACCTTAGACTTAACACAGCCCCCTCCGGTTACGAAATATTGTGTGTTCTATAGCCTACATGTATTTCTTTTAAGGTGAGCTGAAGAGGACATAGTTCTAAAAACAGCCTCAGTTTCAGCCCACTGGAACTTCACGACACTGCTGCTAAACCTAGCTGCTAACCCCCTATATTCTAAAATTTGTGAAGAATTTTAGTGAGTCTTGTGATTAGTGATGTAAAATACCCAGGTATTTAAAACTCGGGGTAAATACCCTGGGTATTTACCCGGGTAAATACCCAAAATCCATAAATACCCGGGTATTTTGGGTATTTATGAAATCGATTGAAATTTATTTTTATCTACCCCTAAATATGTTATAGTTATCATTACATGATAAATTAGGATAGTCTACCTTTTACAGTAACTTGAAGCTTTGCTAGTACCTTTTATTTAATGATTTAGCACTTTTTTTATGAAATCAAGACAACACCTCATTAGAGAAATAGTGAACTTAAACCTACTTCTACTGTTATTAAATTATGATAGTTGAAATTTGTATTGTGTTAATGGCTTGGAAGGCTAGACAGACCCAAGGCCTGAATGATATAGGTAGGATGACAGAATACTGAACGTACAGTAGACTCCCTCTTATCCGGACTCCTCGGGACCGAGGCTAGTCCAGATAACGGTTTTTCTGGTTAAACTGACGTTCCCAAAAACTTGTTAAAACGGAAACCGTGTACTGGTACTGGCATATTCGACTTTAATTCAGGAGAGCATTGTATTTAGATACGTGATCACTGGTCTCAAATCTTTCCCACGAGAACGAGAACAATCGTTTCAGTACCACTCACTTCTTGCCAATCTAGTCAGGTTAAACCAATGGGCTGATACAAATTGTCCGGTTTAAAGGTGTCCGGATAAAAGGGAGTCTACATTAAACTTTTCTGTGTTACTGCTTAGTTGGGAACAATAATATATTTGGATAAACCTATTAAAAAATGTATCTCCTGTTTTTTTGTCTAACTTATAATATAATTTTGAAAGATTTAAATTATTGTGCTAAAGATTCAAATTTTTTGTATCACAAGTTTATGAAATTAGTTTATTTTGATACCAACAAAAGATCTAGAACAAAAATATTATTTAATTCCTGCCATCCTACAGATTGAATTTTAATTATTTTCTTAAGTTGTTTACACATAGGCCAATACTAGGTTAAATTTTCCTGTCTTTCTAAATAATAATTATTACTTTACAAATTATTTTTTTCACTTTCAATAAAATAAATTAATCTATCTATCATAGAAATTAAAAAATTACAAGTAGTCAGGACCAGTGCAACCATGCGGCCAGGGTATTTATGCTGATTTATGCTTTATGCTCAGACCTGGGTATTTATGGCGATCATACCGAGAAGTAAAATGCTAGTAGTGACCATATGAAATTTTGTTTAACACATTTTATTATCATTTTGCTATCCTTACAAGGTAATAATTGCACAAAAACATCTCAATCATCTCTAACTTTAATACAAATTATAAATACCCAGTTTTTGGGTATTTACCCGGACCTGGGGTAAATACCCAGGTAAATACCCAATTTATATTTACCTTCCCACTGGGTATTTACCCGGCCCACATCACTACTTGTGATCAAACACTTAAACAACCTGTATGGGCTATTAATTGACAGCTGTGTCCAAGGAATATGTCGGCCTTAGTCACTAACAATACTACAAGATCACACCACTCATCTCCATTCATACTTGGCTTAAAATACCTACATTCGTATGGTCGTCATATGAAAGTAAAGCGTTAAAGTATTAAACCCTCTCATAATGTATTGTAATTTGCAGCAACATTGAGCTGCAGAAACTTCAGCAGCTGAAGGAGGAGACGGGAGAGTTGTCTAGTGCTGACGAGAAGCGTTACAGGATGTTGAAGAAGGTAACTCTCTGTTCTAGGAAAATTAATAAAATAATTATTTATGGTTTTAGTTCCTGTAAAGTAGGGTCTAATCATTGGCTTCTGCCTAAGGTTGTGGTGGCTTATTCTTTCATCATCTGAAGCGAGGCTTTCCTTACTTTTTATTTTGTGAGATCTTTGTTCAAGATTCATGTACAAGTTAGAGGCTGTCAACCTCTTTTAAGCGATTTATAAATTTTTTGTTTGACTAAAACAAAATAGTCCAGGCAAAGTTGATTCATGATTTTATCCCTCCTTATTTTAAACTTTTTATAAGGAATATGTGCGTTTTAAATCACCCTAATCCAACTGTTTTTGTTGAGGATTACCTGAATTATCCAAGAGCCTCTAAGAAAAGGACATGATGCTTCTAGTTGTCAACTGCTTTGGCAAAACCTTAACAAACAAGTGACATAACAAGGAAAAATCATTGGTATTATGTTTCAACATCAGTTGTCAAACACCATTTTGATTTTCCGCTTTGGGCAGAAGTAATGTTGATTGTTGTATTGTTGTTGTAGGCCGCAGAGAAGGAGTTGTTGGACTCAGCTGACGTGATCTGCTGCACCTGTGTAGGCGCAGGGGACCCTCGCTTGGCTAGACTCAAATTCACCACTATCCTGATAGATGAGAGTATGCAGGCCACAGAGCCCGAGTGTATGGTTCCTGTCATACTCGGTGCCAAACAGGTAGGAATAGTTTTATTACATTTTACCATATAGACAAAAGAACTAAATATAGACTGACAAAGGAAGGTTCTGCGATGTACCATTAGAGCGTGCCCAGTCTTTGTCGATTCGCCGTCGATACCGTCGTCGACTCACCATCTGCTACCAGCACTACCACCCTTGCAAACAAAACGCAACCTACCTATCAGAACTACTTTTCAATATGGTAAAGTACAGAATTTTTAAAATCCCGTAATTTTAATGGAAAAACCCATTTTTTTAAGCCCTCAGAAATTTTTAAAACACGGTAAAATAACAGAACAAACTCCTAATCCCCAGATTCCTAGGAATTCTCCAGAAGTTAGCAACCCAGGCTCCAAATACCAACTTGTCATGGCAACGCTCGCTAGAGCTTGACGCTGCAGCGGTGTGCGCTGAAACTACACGGCGCTCCTAGCATTTGACGCCAGAATATATCCTAACCGCAGCACTGCTGTCGGTCTATATTTGATTCTTTAGTCTATGAATTGAATTTACTATGCTACTAAACAGAATGAATGAAATATTCTCAAGTTAAGTTAACCCAACTCTTCTAATCAAGTACTCTGCTCATCTTTAGTTTATGGTGACATAATAGTAGCAACTCTAAGAACAATTACAATTTGAGTAGTACTCTGCATCAGCGCTATTGATTCTAGTGGATATTTTTTAAAGCAGGTTGTTCATATAATTGCTAGCTGAATGTTAAAATTCAATATTTTCCAAGTCACTATGAACAAAGACTTATCTTCGATCTCAATGGTTTTCCGTTGTATACTGATAGATAACAGCTGATTCCTTTGTGTTTTGTTATCAGCTGATCCTGGTAGGAGACCATTGCCAGCTGGGACCTGTAGTTATGTGCAAGAAGGCCGCTCGTGCCGGACTTTCTCAGTCATTGTTTGAACGACTCGTTGTCCTGGGAATTCGCCCATTCAGACTCGAGGTTCAGTACCGTATGCATCCCGAGTTGTCTCGTTTTCCATCAAATTTCTTCTATGAAGGCTCTCTCCAAAATGGAGTCTGTGCAGGTGAGATTTATTTGAATTTATTTATATCAAATTTTTATATATCTATATATAGAGATATATATATATATATATGTGTCCATCCGCACGATAACTTGAGTAATTTTTGTCCGATTTTGATAAAATTTGGTTTGAAGGTGTAAGGCAGGATAAACTTGAACGAGTTCGCGAACCAGCATGATCGGACTATGGGAACGGGGGTTTATGGGGGGTTTTATGGGGTAAAAATAGGTTTTTCCCATTTTTGACCGTAAAAACACAAAATTTCACAATTTCTTTTTAAACCATTTTGTAGAGCTTAAAAAAACAAATAATTTAGTATATTGAAGCGTTATTATGCGCCTAATTGTTACGGAGAAAATTCAAAAAAATTGTAATTTTAAAATTCCCATGTTATTCTTATGGAGAATAAGTCAGCTGTTGTAGTTTGCTTGTTTATGAACATATTTTGATTGATTTTGGAAAATACTTTTATTTCTTACTAAAATATTTATAAAAAAAATCTTTTTTACCCTCCCTGTTGCAGCAAACCTAAGTACTCGTTAAACTAATTCTATTTAAATAGGAAATAAATGTGCTATTTTTATGAAGGCATTTTAGTGTAAATCCAATCAGGTTAATGGAAATTCGCTTAGTCTGCAGGTTTGCTGCGGCGGGGGTATTATTGTTTTATGGTAGAGATAGAAAAATTGAATATAGAAAGATATGAAGATACAACTAGCTCTTGAAAAAATACCTACTCTAGATGTGGCTTAGGTTTTTCTCGTTGTCAAAAATCTTTTGGATCAAAACCTAGTAAAATATGTTACCAACAACATGTTTAGGATATCAATTAACTTGTATTCATTTTTAAAAACAACTTTATGGGTATAATAGGATATTACAAGAATAAGTAAATGTCAATTGATGTGACACCATTGCTAAGTACCGATATATTACCTTTGTTGAAAATCCGGGCAAGCATTATTTGTTGGAAAAGCACGATCCGACTTGTAATCAAATAATGCAATAAAGTTAACATATTTTATTAATTAATATCTTGTGGATAACTGGGTTAGGAAACGACTATTAGGAAGGCCCAAGAAGAGATGTTAGGATAGTGTCTCCAAGGACGTCAGAGAAGTGGGGGCAGCAGTGGAAGAGGCAGAAGATCGAGAGAGGTGGAGAGCAGTTGTTGGTGCGGCCAAATCCCGCCTTATTAATAAATGGTCATGGGAGTGAGTGGATAACTGGGTGGAACAATATCCGTTAACAATCCTTTGTTTTTAGATGAACGTAAGCTGGCCAAGATGGACTTCCCATGGCCAGTGGCAGACAAGCCGATGTTGTTCTACGTGACGCAGGGCCAGGAGGAGATAGCAGGCTCTGGTACGTCGTACCTCAACAGAACCGAGGCGGCCAATGTGGAGAAGATGACCTCGAGGTTCCTGCGCTGCGGTGTCAAGCCCGAACAGATCGGTGTCATCACCCCTTACGAGGGCCAGAGGGCGTATCTTGTACGTACTTAACCATGTCTAGTATATTAAATCAAGGTGACTACTAGCGTAGACATCCCCATCTATATGGACCAGCTGTAACCTTTTTTTTTTTAAAAAAAAGCTTTAACGAGCCTCTCATAGAGTGCACTACTGGCCGAAATTCTATTTTATTTGTTACCGAGATAGTTGCTGTGACATAAAATATAGTAAAGCTTATAATAAGTCGTTCTATAAGTTTGTATTACAAAAATGTCAGTATATTTAGACCAAAATCAGCAATTTACATCAGCAAATTTTGTCATTGGCTCAATTTAACTGCCTCTATTTTCATTCAAAAACAAATGACAAGTTTAATATGGGGGTCTATCAATAGTCAATGCTACTAGTTTAAATGTTACTGATTTTACTAGTAAGTCACTGAAATCAACAAAAGTGTTCTTTCACTGTCACTAAAAATAAATTTTTTACCTTATACCCCTAATTGACATCACTAGTGAAAATTTTATTTTTTGTTTATTTTGAAATGTCGCTTACTTACAGAATGTTTAACTTGAACAAGGTACTATACCCTTTTCTTGCTGTTTACAGGTTCAATACATGCAGTATCAAGGCACTCTCCCATCCAAGCTGTACCAAGGTATCGAGGTGGCCAGTGTGGATGCATTCCAAGGCCGAGAGAAAGACCTCATTATCATGTCATGCGTCCGTTCCAATGAACATCAAGGCATTGGTTTCTTGAACGACCCTCGGCGTCTCAACGTGGCTCTCACTCGAGCCAAATTTGGTATAATTGTCGTCGGAAATCCCAAGGTTCTGTCTAAGGTAAAACTAAAGTCTTTTTTTGCTTTTAACCTTTTTACCCTAAGAAGTTATTTAGATTGGATTCCAAAAGTTAAGGAAAGCAACAATTGGTAAAATGTTGGAACGGAAAAGAATTTCCCTTGAGGAATTGTCAATTATTTTAGTGTACGTAAATGTTTGACATTTCGTTTACTTCTATTTGTCAAAGAGTTACATGTTATTGGCAAATAAAAAATTAAAAGTTAGTATTTAAAATCCTGTTCAATATTTCAAAAATACTATTTGAACTCTACGTCCTAGGTCTGTCCTTTGGACTAATAATCTACACTTTTGGGTTTGCTCACACTCTGCAAGATTATCTTGCACTTATTCTTGGTACTACAGACTGTAGTGTTCATTTCGATTCCAGTTTAACATTATCCCACTACTGATACTCTTGGACTTGGACATGATTGAATATGCCCTCTATCTAATTATTACTAAATACTAATACATTTTAGTGATGAAATTCATAATTTGTTATTAGGAGTAATTACTATGTTGAATCAATGTAAAAACATTAATTATGACAATTTTCATGATTTTAGCCATGAAGACGATTTTAAACTGTTTAAAACGATATAACAATGGCTGAGATAAGTTACTGATGAATGCGTTTCATTAGCCTGACCAACACTTAACATTTCAGCAACAACTGTGGAACCACCTGTTGAACTTCTACAAGGAGCAGAAGGTTCTGGTGGAAGGACCTCTCAACAACCTGAAGGAGTCCATGATCCAGTTCTCCAAGCCCAAGCAGATAACCAATGCTGCCAACCCCGGCACTCACTTCATGTCCACCACTGTGTACGACGCCAGGGAGGCCATGGTGCCGGGCAGCATCTACGACCGGACTGGCGCTAACAACCCCGCGGCTCACTACATGCCGAGACCTGGTGAGTGGAGCCTCCATGTATCTGTGCAAACTTTGGGGGGAAGTGTTTGGGGATGTTCATGTTTAGTTTTACAATTACAGTAGAACATCTCTTGGGGAGAGGACGTTTCACTTTAAAAAAAATTTGGTTAAAAGAAAAGTCTTTTTTCAGAACTAAGAGTGATGAGATTAAGATAATAACCCAACTAAAGCAGATGGGGGTGTTGTGATGGTAGTTTACATTGTGTAGCAGACAACAGCCTTAATCTCCGTCAAAGGTTTGCAGGTTAGAAAAGAACTCTCTGCCACCCTTCATCATTCCATCACTTCACTTTCTCTTCCTTTGTCTAATACACATTTTGTTGTTTTTTTATATAAAACTTGCGCTGTTCCAGTTAATCAGTTTGGTTAAAAGTTTTTTGGTTGATTAAGGTTTTTAATGCAACCTTTACTGCAGAAGAAGACATACCTATTAATGTACAAATCTGTAGCTAGTTTAAGAATAAAATCTATGTAATATTCACAGACAAGCTTCCACAGTCACATACCGTGGATTCAAGGACTTTGGGCAACGACTTTGTCCAAAAAGATTAAACGCTTTTCACCAACATTTTAGCCTTAATGTAGAGTGCCATATTTAAGGTCACTTGACTTCTTCATACTGGATATGCAGAAATCAAGTCACCCTGTTGACTACATCGAGGGCAAAATGTCAATGACAAGGGGCGTTGGTAGTCTAAGTGTGTGACAAAGGAGAACTAAATGGTTTTTGTTACAGCTCCTGGTGCCAGATTGGACATGTTCGGTCACGACCCCATCTCCTACATCTCGCCAGAGAGAGCGCAGGCAGCCCTCACCAACATCCCTGTGCCGGTGGGTATGTTCATGAACATGAGTCACGTACCTCCTCGCTTCTTCAACCAGCACCAGCAAGCCATGCAAGGTGAGGTCCTAAAGTATTGTGTGGAACTAACAGGAATAAGTTTTATGAATGGTGGAAATGATGACTATCCGTCCAAGTATACAATATTCAGCTCTCATGTATTAACAAAAAAAAATTGTAATTGGTGGTTAAGAAGATTGTTAATAATTTTCTGAGTTTTAAATTAAAGGCAAAATTTGTACTCCATACAAACGTGTTTTACAATACCTAAGGACTTTTTATAAGCTATCTGCTATCTTCTTTTTTTCTAAAGACTCAGTCACAGCCTTGTGTCGTTCCTTAAACAAAATAGAATGTATTTATTTGATCTAACAAACAAATTACACTATATATTGACAGTGACAGAATATTTACTTACTTAAGTCGCCAGTGATTTTTTACTCCTGGAGCCTAAGGCTTCAACTTGTCCTCTTTATTTTACCCAATCGGTTGCTTCTCCCTTAATTTCCTCCCAGTTGGTTTTCAAAAGTTTGAAATGAAATATTATTCATTTATACTGGCAAAAGTTAGCCTGAAGTAGTTAGAAGTAACCTGTAAGTTTCTGCCGCTGTTGTAGATTATTACCCATTGTAGTAAGTGTGATTAGAAATACTTCTACAACAATTATAATTTTTCCATTACAATAATTATTAGAATAACAGTTTTTGTTTGTTGTTGCAGCTCGCCAAGTCGGCCGAACAAACCGCATTAACAACAACCGTCTTCGTAACAAGAACAATCTGGGCAAGAACAAGATGGGCAACACCCTGAGTCAGGGCAACAGCCAGGAGCCTTACAGTCAGGGCATCACCCAGGGCATGAGCCAGCAGGTAACCAATCAATCAAACCTTGAAAATTAATTTTGTAAAGAACAATTTGTAAAAAAAGTTTACAAAAAGATGAAGGAAAGGATACACAACAAACCCACCTAACAAAAGGTTTCTGTTTGTAGGATACAAATTCTTTTATATTACAAATTAATTACAACAATGGGATATTGTGGTTTTGATACAAATGTAGACCTAGAACATAATTAAAAAGAAGTAGTTGTACAGATGATTTATTGTGCTTTATTTTTATACATTTATCCGTACATTTTGTTTTCTTGGAGCCCGCAAAGATCCACCTAGAATTTTCAAAGCCTGTGGATTCTGTAGGTGCTGTCTAAACAAGATTTTACATTATTCCCTTTGAATGAAAATGGATATATGATTGAAATTTCTGCTTAACTGGTCCAGTGGCTGTTGTGTAATAAGTAAGAGCTATCTCCACTCTAAAATAGGATATTTATCTGCGAACAGTGTTTTAACGATCATTATGTATGCCTCAGGGTGGAATGTCGCAAGGATTCAGTCTATCACAAGCAGGACTGTCACAAGACAGTTATCACATCCCAGACTACCAGAGCCAGATGATGGATGGGTTCTTGTCCCAGGACTCGACCTATCAGGCTGAGAGATATCCTACACACCAGGTAAACTAGTTTTTTATGCAGCTAAGTGGAAAAATTATCGAGCCTAAAGGCGGTTTTACACACTATGATAAATCATGTAACTTGTATGCAACGACGAATCGCTACCTTTTGCCGGTACGACCATGCTGATTAGACGTTCCGTCTTTTACAACCACCCCGCTTCCACCTTTTAGGCTTTTTAGGTGTTCTGTTAATGCATCGCCTGTTAATGCCTCATAATGGAGTTACTATTGTGGTCCATGTACGTCATTTGTCTTTCAACCAGCGGGAAAAGAAAAGAAAACCAAAAGCACAGGAAGCTATTGTCAAGTTCAATCAACTCTTGGCACAAGCTCACAAGAGGCTTGGCGGAGGTCTGACATTTTAATTTAGGTAAACAAAATGCACACACCGAAAAAAACAAGACTAAAAACAGTCCAACTCCAACTACACAAAATAACCTTAAATATGCACTGTATTATATGTTCAAATGTGCACGTAGTGAATACGATGCACTGTACTTAGTGAATACAACAAAACTGAGGCCTATACGGGCCACAGCTGCAATGATTTGTCTGAGTAGCTGTTTACACACACCGACCTCAAGAAATTAATTACGTTTTGCACACACCTTTCAATTCAACTCAAAGACAAGACGTTCTGACGGACAAGTCGTTATATTTTATGGTAGTGTGTAAGCCTGCCTTAAAACAGACTTTAAATTACATACTGTAGTCTAAATCTGTAAGAGTCTAAAAAGAGCTGGAAAAGTCAAATCTCTTTATTTAACATTTATTGTAAGATTGTTTGGGTTTCTTGAGCCAGAATTAACTCATTAATCATCCAGATTAAGTCTTAGCAACTATTCTTTTCATACTTTTTTTGACAGAATGTTTGTTGTTCTCAGCCGTACTGAAGCGCGGTGTCAGAGGCCCTGGTCGCGGGAGCGGCTTAAGGAGTTCAACGGCGTACTACGGTGGCGTGACACCGCGCAAGCCACAGCGCAACGGCGCAACCTCCGACCAAGTGGATCAAGCCATTTGTTTTATTTCAAATGTAATTCGCAGTTAAGACTCGACTGCTACATGGTTGAAAAATTAATAGACTAGTGTTTTCTTTATTTACTAATTTGTTGTTTTGTTATTACGTTTAAAAATTAGTTTTAAGCTTACTACTATTTCATTTTCGTTACTCGTCTGTGTAATTTAAATTGTATCTTCAATGACATGAGAAAAATTATTTTAAAATTGCACCTCAATTTTTGTGTTAAATTCTTCGATATATTTTTGTCGGTAGTAAATAGTTGATCGACTCTATAAATGTTTAGTTTTAAACATTATACATTTGTATGCATCTGTGCTATGTTTGACTATTCAATGAAACAAGCCATGGACATGGCTATTCACGAGGGGAAGATGTAATAAAATGTTATGTTCTATTCTAAATTTTCTTACTTTTCACTTGAAGTTTTACCATTAATTTCAATCAAATTAAAGTTATAACAATTAAAGAAAGTAGTGTTATTCCTTTGCATTAATAAATCAAGTTTTACTAATGAAGGTATTTTCTTGAAATACAAATAGTGAAAAAATTAAGTACCTCAATCTCCTGACATGTATAATTTATTTTTGAATTTAAATTGTTTGTTCTCTTTTCTTATTATATATTTACCATAATGTTTAAATTTTAAAAATAACTACTGTATTACATGTAAATTTACTATCATTAATTTTCTGTTCTGAAATTATTAGAGTTTTGGTTATAATATAAAATTACTAATTCTGTAAAACCATGACCGTCATTAGTTTTTATGTATTTTATTATTAACTGTTTTTGGTGGAATTAGCATACAAAAAGATAAACAAATTAATAACTTTACACCTTAGAACTCAAGTTTGATGTAAATGTATTAGGCCTACTACTCCAGTGACATGAAACAGTTCTAAGGCTAATCTACAACATGAAAATAGCAATTGTTTGGTTACCAACATAAGGTAGTAAAAATAAATACAAGGTCCATGCTGGTAAACAGCACACAAAGTCCGATGAACAGACATAAATTGGGGAAAGAACATTCGTAAAAGTTTATAAATATGCTATGACAAAATTATGATTGATTTGACATGTTATCTATTACCATAGACAAATAGAACAAAAAAAAACCATGTTCTGGCGCCCACCGCTAGGAGTGTCGTGTAGTTATGGCGCACACCGCTGCAGCGTCTGCTGGTAGCTTATGGCTCCTGCGTTCCTCGCCTGCAGCGGTGTGCGCCATAACTACACAGCACTCCTAGCGGTGGGCGCCATCTATATTTATTCTATTTGTCTATGTTATTACATAACAGATTATTTACAGTTTGATAATTTTGTAATCATTTGAAGATGGATTTATCACTTTGTTAGAATTATTTCATAAATTGTTCAAGATATGGTCTGATATATGAAGCAATGGTTAGCTCATTAGTCCTGTTACATCAAAGTAGACAAAATATTTAAATGTTCAATTAAAAATCTTATTCCTGCATTTCAAGTAGTTTTCCATTTTATCACTCAATTAGTGTACGCACACAGTTGTAAACTTTTATGTTAGACTTTAAGAACTGATTCAAAAATCATTGACTCGGCTATTCGTTCGTAAAATTTATGGGAAAGTAATCCCCGCAGGTTTATTTTTGCATTACTTGGAATGTATAAAAATTTAAAACTGCTTAGAAATGTTACCTTATTTAAAAGTGTTGAGGACAATTTGTTAGTAAACATGTTAGGACAAGTTCACCTCTGCTGCTAATGTACAAGATTAAAATTATAGGACAAGTCAAGTGCAGGTGTCAAAATCTCGTTTGAATCTCCAGTTCTAAAATAGAGCAATGTCAGTGGCTGACTTTACATACAGCAAGTAGTCAACTCACTCTGTTATAAAATCTTATCTGTTTCATGAGCTGTAATTTTTGTGTATACTGATTTTGATAAACTAAATGTTTTGTATTTTGGGATAATTTAACAATGTGCTCTTGACTTTCGGGTTATAATACTAGAAAAATAGTGGTAAACATGTTCGTAATTTTAGGTCTCCAATGAGCTCCAGTCAATTCTAAGTAAGCCTAGTTCAAATCCAACACCACAGTATTATTTACTAACTACAATTCTAGCCATAATCGCAATACCAGAAATTAAAGTATTAAACCTGTAGACCACAAAATTTACAAATTCAAGTCAAGACCACAATCCACAATACATCAGTCCAAAAAAACTGTTGAACAACTTACTACGAAGGTTAATTGCCCTAGGAAATCCTTCCTATCCTTTCCTTAAAATAATTCCTCAAGAATAAGCCTTTTTCCCTCATTGGAAGACTATTTAGAGGGCTACAGGTCTCAAGTATGAATTAACCTACCCACTTCATCTGGCTAAAGTTTTGCAGAGTAAATTTGATTTTCTTGTGTACATTTTTGGAAAGTTAAGTTGTATTGTGTAAAAACAGATGTTTGAAGGCTTAGATATAACCGTTGCCGAATATGATGTACTAGTATGTAATTCAATAAATAAATAAAAAAACATTAAGGCCAGTTCCCACTCCTTGGGAATTAGTTACTTGGAGGCAGCCATTACTTGATGTGCGCTAGGCTGCGATTTGATTAGAGTTCATTCTGAGACCATGATCTAGACAACCACATAGAATACCTTTAGACCTTTACGCATCTTTAATTTAGAACCTTTAATTTATCTTTAAATAATATTCATATGATGAAATCTCTAAGGAAAAGTTTAAAATAGTGCTACGGTTTTGGAGCTAGCCTATTTTACATCTTTGATCGGAGATATGCGGTTTTGACACCTGCAAAAATAAACAGGACTTGGTTCTAAATTTAGAAATGCATATCAACTCTATTAGTCTATTGTATTGTAATTCTAATTCTTAACAGAAATTTGATGATTTTTTTTCTTCTCTTACTTAGAGCAATAATTAATTGCACATGTTTCTTTATAAAAACCTAGGTAATGTAAATTATGTTGTTTACTTTATTTAAAACTGGCTTTGCTTAGATGAAGTAATTTTTCTTTTGGATCTCCTGTACATGGAATTATTCTTGAAAATTGTTTTCTTGTATAAGATTTTTAGAGTTTGCTGTCAACATGTTTTATTTCTAAATCACTTAAATTATGACAAAAAGATAGTTTCTTGGGTTTCGTTTAATATATTTTAAGAACACTTATCTATCATTCAATAATATTAAAAATAGTATCCACTGTTTGGATTTCATAACATGAGCCCAGACATTTAATTGGTCAAAGAGATCACTATAATGGAATTGATTGTATGGAGTTGTGTTTAACATCTTTGCTCGGTTGGTCAGTCATACCATACAAAAAGAATTAAATATAGACTGTCAGCTGTGCTGCGGTTACCATGGTTACCATAGGTTTTGGCGCACACTGCTGGGAGCGCCGTGTAGTTACGTAGCCCTAAAGCCGTAAATACATGGCGTTCCTAGTGGTGTGCGCCAGAACCTATGGTAATCGCAGCACAGCTGACGGTCTATATTCAATTCTTTTTGTCTATGGTCATACTGGACACGTGGTTAACGCAAACAGCAAAATCAGCACAGAATTTTTTCAACATCGTTTTTCTCTGATTTTTGCCTGGCTAGTACCACTGGCTCCCTTTCTTACCTTTTTCTCTTGGTCATTATAGAGTCTTTGACCCACCAGCTATAAACTATTAGAATGTTAGAATGTGAGAAGGGAGGTTATTGCGATACAGAAATTTTCCTCCACCACTTCTCTACGTACAGTTTTCACTGAAGACATCGTTTTAACAAGTAATTCCTTACAATTGCACTGAACAAAACAAAAAAAAAAGCAACTGGTGAGGGAAAGGTTCTTGCGTGCATGTACATTCTTCTCGCCACTCTAAATTATTCAATCTATATTACCTCTGAATAGATACAAGAAAATGTGTTTTTTGCAGCCCTTCCACCATTCAATTGTCCTTGTTTTTATATTAGGCAGTATCTATCAGTATCATTGACTATCCGAGTGGCTGCGACAACCAATACGGAATTTATTCAAGCTTATTTGTATAACACAACAGTCATTTTAGCTGGCCACTACTACTAAACAAATGGTTAACAAGTTATAGTTCGGCCGCTTAGAAAGAGACCTGAGCGCTAATGCTAAACCAATGCTAGAGGAGGTCGCTTTCCAAGCGGCCGAACTATAGCTATGAAATCGTAATATTTATCAGCAAGAGGGATACCTACATGCTAAAAACTTAAGCTGCCCTTCCACCATCACACATTTTGGACAACATATTCCCAACATTTATCAGAAAATCTGTACAATACATACAATTACAACATAATTTGTTATGAACTAAGTTGTATAAAACTTTTCCACGGTCAGCTTTAAATGGAAAGTGTTAGTTAATTTGTTTTGTTCAAAGGATATTTAATTGTTGTCTGGAAATAAGAGATAAGCTGGAAATAAAGTTCTGTGAATGGGCTCACTAAGTCTTTTTTTTTTATTTACCCATGTTCCTTCGTTTTAATAAAAACTTTTTAGTTTTTGACAAATATCCAAAAAACAGTTTTTAAGTATATTTTTATAAATTTTTGTTCCAGAGATCAATGGTAATTATTCCATTTTACATCAAATTAAGTATTGCCATTGATTGCTAATAATATTTGAATTTTTACAATTGACTACTATATTTTAAGAAAGGTTGTAATAATCAAAATTTGATTTTAATTATAGACCTATTATATTTTGTTATTATACATATTTTTTCTAAATAATCTTAAAAAAGATTATTATATAAAAAACTGTCACTAACAAAAATATAAACATGAGTAAGTTTGCAGTTATACTAAATTAAAACATGTGTTGTTATTGTTTAAAAACATCAAGATGGGTTGAATTGGAATTAATATTTTTGTTGTACAGAAACAACCACCCAATTTGACATTATTTATTTCATCTCTTTCTTTTGGAAAAAACAAGATCAAGTAAGTATTTGTTACTTTTGTATGACTGTATTATAAAATCAAGATAGAATAACATGTTAAGTCATTTATATACCTATGTGGGGGTTGAGGAAGCATGTTATCTCATAGAAGAATAGGCTACTA